GTCTACCTAGGGCTGTGCAGCCAGTTATGCTGTATCTAGGCAGAGAAACAATGGCTACAGTCTCTCTCTCTCTTTCTCCCTCTCCCCTTCTCTCTCTCTCTCTCACAACACGCATACAATCATTCATAACCCACTATGTCTATGGGTATTCATGTGCAAAATGTATTATACAGTGTAACTTTTTCCCTAATCACACCTCATAAAAAATGCTTTTAGGCAAAAACAATAAGAAAGGAAATCACTTATTTGCATTTTCCTTTGCTACAGGATGCCACAAAATGCATCATTCATACCTCACTGTACTAAGACAGTGAGAAGGATCTGGAGAGTTCTCAGCTCATGGGAACTCTAGAAATAATCCAAGCTGTAATGGGCAATATTTTGTAAAAGAGTGATCTCCATATCTGATAGTTCAATGATGATGACACTCTTGTGTAAATTGGTGAAACTAGTACTTCTATGGCCATGTGGTATTGAGAAAGGATTGTTTGAGGGAAGTAGGAGCTTCTAGCTTCTTCCACGACATCCTAACACTTCCCCAAGCCATATCCTTACCTCACCCAAGACAGATACTCTGGATATGCTTGGAGCAGAGTGGATTTATGTGGGAAAGAAAAAGAGACTACAGGAGCAGAATTACAGTAGTGGCCAAAATTGTGGAAACCTTTTGGAAAAGGTATACAGTAGAAATGCCACCTTTGGTTAAGTTTCCACCAATTTTTCTTCTAATTTCTTTATAACTGTAGCCTTGTTCACTTAATAATACTATTTTACATCACTTTCTGGGCAACCAGTCAACTCTTTGCACCGTTACTTTAATTTTATTATGTTTTACAAGCTCACTAAATGAAAGAACACAAAAAAATCCAACCAACTTGATAGCGATCACATAATACAATGACAAATGTCCTCCTCTCAGCTTCAATACATGACATCAATAACTAAATCCTACTGTGATCTGATTGGCTCATTGCCAAAACAAGATGACACCTGATTGGCTACAATCAGATGAAGGAAAGATACCTGATATCAACCTAAGCAAGTTGTGCTTCCTTTTTCTGGTTATTTGGCTATAACTTTTCATAGAATAATTGATTAAATTATCTTTCCATTGATATATAATTTTATGGTACTACTCCAAAAACAGTGGTGTTATTAGCCATCAAACCTTAAAAATAAATTTTTCCCAAAAGGTTTCCACAATTTTGGCCATTGTATATCTTTGCTCTTCAGTTATAAACAACTTATTTTTTCATATTAATTTACTCAGTAATTCTGTTTACTGCATTCATATGTACCCTATAGTTCAATCCACAGGTTAATTCATTTATACCTTTGTGTCATTTGTTATACGTGTGCATGTATTCTTCTTCCGGCATGCTCCATGGAGCTTTTTTTCATAATGAAATGCTTCATTTAGCTTATTGCATCCATATTGACCATAAGACATTTAACTATCTGGGAGTAGTTGGCAGTGTTTGGTAGCTTTGGAAGAAGATTGTAATAAGTTAAATTAAATATCTGAGAAGGAAAATAAACTAATTATGAGTGTGCATACAGAGTAGGTTAAATGTCATATACAAGTTGAAATGAGGGGAAATTGCTGAATTTCAAGACAGTAATATTCTATTCCTTGCAGTAAAGAAAAGGACAGAGGGATTGAACCATTTTAAAATAAATCAACATCTAAAAAAACTGAAAATAGTAAGAGAATATTAGTAGTTGTAAGCCACAGAAAGATTCTATTTATGATACAGGAAAGGCAGATTAATGATCAGCTATGACATTCCCTAATTTGGTTGCTCTCCAGATAGGAGGACTTACCCAAGATTTAGCCAGATTCACCCCGTCAACATGGCCAATGTTGAAAATACTGGAGGTTTAATCCAATAGTCCTGCAGGATGTCAAGGTTGAGGAAGGCTGGCACAGACAAATAGCAGAATTAGTTGCTGCATAATTCATGATGTGATCTGATTGTTTCTTTTGTTTATTTATTAACACATTAAATCCTAGCATTTGCTAATTAAAGCACCAATCTGGATTAACACTTTTTTTTCAGAATCTTAAATCTAGAAAGTCAGTGGATTCTTCCTAATTATAACTGTAAAGAATTCTGTTTTGAAATCCTTTTTGACTTTTGAGGAAATAGTTTTGAGCTGGAAAATAATTCACAATAAATATATGTTTATCTTATTGTAGCATATCTATCAATAATTCATTACCACCAAAATGTAGCATGATGCCTATATTAAACATACTCAAAAATTATATACTGTATCTATATACTATAAGCTGCTGCCACCTTCTGAATAAAAACTAAAATGACTTCCTTTATAATGCCTATCTTGAGATGGAACGTGTACAACTAAAATTAAATTTCAGCATAAAAATATGGTTTATTCGTATATGTTTTCAATTTTGTTAAATAGCACTGAGAAAGAACCAAAGACTGCTAGTGTGGTCTGACACATTGCATTAGATTTGTTCTGTTTTATTGGATTGTTTTATTTCTATCCTGCCTTTCTATTCAGCTGGGGACCTCAAGGCAGCTAACTTTCCATAAAATGCAGAGTACTGAAAAAATAAATAAAGGTCACAAATTGAAGCTGAAAAGGAAGACAAGTGGAAGCTTCTGACTCAGCAAAGCAAAGGGGTCAGGAGGGAATTTGTGGTGCTGATCACATGGATAGCCAATGAGGAGCTGTGGTTAAGCTGTTGGATGGGGATCAGGAACATCAACTCCTTCTTCAGCCATGAATGCTCATTTGGTGACTTTAGGCCAGCCATTCTTTCTCAGCCCAATGTATTTGCAGGGAGTGGAGGTGGAGGGAATACTCTGGGCACCATCTTGAACTTTTGAATGAAAGTCAGAGTGCAAATTTAATAAATGGAAAATATTTAAATAAATCGGTAACTGGTCTAAGGCTGTCACTCAAGATGAAAATTGACTCCACCTGAACAAGACCTGCCATTTTAAGATTCATAGAAAAAGGAAGAAGACAATGTTGCCCCCGTGGGTCACGGAAATCCCCAAATCCCTTTGAGAAAGAAGAGTGGTTGTGGTGGATGATTTCCTGCTGAGAAGAACTAAGCCTCAGTGTACAGACCTGATATGATCTATCAGAATGATATATAACGAACACTGGAGTATTATGGCATAATGTTGTATTATGTCATGCCCCGTGTATGGCGCTTTACATGACTTCACCCTTCATTCTCTTGTCGTGAAGATGGGATGGTTTATGTATTTTTATATACAATAGTGTTTCATTTACATGTTTTCAATTACATTAATCAGTACGAAGCAGTTGGTGACCAACTTTGTCCTATTAGGGACTGTCCAGACATGTGTATCCAGATGATATTCTATAGAAGTCAAACCTATTGTGAAGTGAGCTCCTGGACCTTTGTACTTCAAATGACTACATATATTAGTTTCAAAAGCTATTCAAATTTGACAGTTAGTAGTATTGCAGTAAGGGATCTAAAGTGCAAAAGTTCATGAGTTCAATTCCTGACACAGAATTTGAATCCCATATAATAACATCTGGCTATATACTTTTGAACTGTCTTGATCTGAGAGAGAGATGTCAGTCAGCATTATGTCTGCAGTAGAAGGAAGGAACTGAAGTTCAAGAGGAACAAGAAGAGGGTATGAGAATACTTAGTTAATTTAAATGAATTAAGATCTCCAGGACCAGAATAATGATATCCTAATGAACTGAGAGATGATCACAGAGCAGCTGAATTTAATCTCTGGGAACTCCCGGAGAATCCTGAAGTCTCAGGGCAAAAGGAAAACTCAGGGAGTTACAAATATGCTAGCTTAAGGCCTATACCAGGGGTAGACAACCTTGGCTCTTTTATGACTTGTGAACTTCAACTCCCAGAATTCCTGAGCCAGCCATGCTAGCTCAGGAATTCTGGGAGTTGAAGTCCACGAGTCATAAAAGAGCCAAGGTTGCCTACCCCTGGCCTATACTATAGTCAAGATAGTTAAGCAGTTTATTAAACAATATATTTATGATCCCTTGAACAAGAACACAACAATTTATAACAGCCAGCTTGGGTTTGTCACCATGTCATACTATGGTCCTCGAGTTATGACCATAATGGAATGTGCCCATTACAGTCATACGTCATAGCGGTCATGAAACCAGTTAGTCATGTGGCCAATCCAATTTTACAAATTCTTTGCAGTGGTTGTCAAGCAAATGCAGCTGTTGTGAGACTGTCACGGCTGTACATGTAAATGCACGGTGGTTAATAACAGAGCTGGCCGAGGAGCCACAAGCCTGGATGGCTGATCGGTCTGTGTCAGATTGCGCTCTTTACATCTACAACTGCGACATGTGATTCTCCAAAGGAAGAGTATTGTAGAGTGGGGACAATTTCTTACTGGGATCTGATCTCTGTACACCTGTAATACAACACAAAATAAAGTTTGTATAATTTGCTTTTTTTAGCAGCTGAAACATCCTCCTCCTCCGTTATTATCAACCTGAATCGATGAGGTCATACGCCATCGCAGATATAGATGTCCGCTTGCATGTGCCAAGCTTCGGCAGAAGCGCGGCATCAGGAGCTTTTTCAGACGTTACCCGGAACCCCGACTCCCTCCGTGCAATCCCACCTTCTGAACGTCAGCCACGCAACGTAAGGAGTGACTGCCCCCCCACCCCGGCGACCGGAGAGGTCTAGGCGGGGCATTCCCACCCTCCACCCACCGAACGTAGGCGGGGCCCGGGTCCCGCGTCACAGGGTGGGGCGGCCTCCCGCTTGGAACTGTTCGGGGATCGGTGGTGCTGACGGAAGTCGCGGGCTTTGCTCTCCGTCCTCTGGCGGCTGGGGCAGGGAGGGGCCAGCATGGCGCGGCCGCCACCCCCTCCTTCTCCTTCTCCCGGACCGCAGTGGTAGCAGCCAGGCTTCCCTTCCCACCTTCCGTCGTCAGCACCGCCATCGTCCTCCGCTCCCGGGTGGCTGGCCTCGCTTGGGTGCTATGGCCGCGGAAGTGCCCGGCCCCCCGGGCCTCCTCGTCCTCTGGCTCTTACCGCCGCTCCTTCTGCTTCTGGGGGCGCCGGCACGGTCAACCGGAGAACTAAGGTCACCGGCAGCGTCGGGTGTGGAATCGCTGCTGGAGGAGTTCCGCCGCCAGCTGCAGCTTGAGAGGGATCCCTCCGGCGGCCGCAGCAACGAGCTGGAGGAAGCGGCCGGCCACTGCCGAGGAGGGACTGAAGGAGCAGCCGGCGGCGGCGGGAGTTTCTTCTCGGTCAGGTCCGACTCCATCATCCGCACCAAGGACTCCATCGCGGCGGGTGCCACGTTCCTCGGCTCCCCGAGCTCGGTGGCTGGTCCCAGGCATTGCCTGGATGCCTGCTGCGCCGATGCCCGCTGCACCCTCGCCGTCTTGCAGCAGCAGCAGCAGCAATCGGCCTCGGTCCGCTGTTATCTCTTCAGCTGCACCTATCGTGGCCGCGCCGTCTGTGTCTTCTCCCCTCAGCGCGGCTACAACAGCTACTTCCTGGAACCCACCAGCCACCCTCCTCCGGCTTTGGGTAAGAAGAAGGCCGTCGACTTAGAGTTCGGCCGGTTTCTTGAAAGGGGGCTAAAATAATGACGGTTTCAGTTCAGGAAAGAAGGTGGGGGGAACGAATTGCATGTGAGCAGAAGGCTCTTAAGAATAAATATCTTTAATAGTAAAATATAGGAATAGAGAGGTCATGTAGTATTAACTTCCTCCCCCGCCCCAAAATTGATTTATCATCTCTCTCTCTCCCTCCCTCCCTCTCTCCCTCTCTCCCTCTCTCTTTTGCATCTATTTCTATTTCTATTTCTAGCTATCCATCCATCCATCCATCCATCCATCCATCCATCCATCTATCCATCTATCTATCTATCTATCTATCTATCTATCTATCTATCTATCTATCTATCTATCTATCTATCTATCTATCTATCTATCTATCATCTATCTAGCATCTATCTAGCATCTCAGCAAACAACACGTGGCAGCTAATAGTTAAAAAATACCAGCATCATCTTCTTCACATATTTGTATAGTTGCACAGGCCATTTTTTCGCCCATTCCATTGCTTTGCTTGGTGGGTATTCAGTTTAAAATATTCCCAGAAGGGGTATTCCCTCTGCTTGATTATAGCCAATAAAAGGGAGCTCACTCCCTATGGATAATTGTTTCCTCTGTGAAGTTTTGCTTCAAGTGCATTCTTGTAATTATCACGGGATAATACAGAACAGGATTTTGCTTTCTTCTTTGTGACCTCAGGAATTTGAGGAGTGTTGTTACGGTATATCCCACCTCACTCTCAATTTTGTGAAAGCTTTACATTTCCATTTCTTTAGCTTTTTCATTCAGTGATCATCCTCGCTGCCTTACTCTGGGCCTGTTTTCCTTAAATCCTTAAAGAGCGGTGTTCAGAGTGTCTATTCTTACTTCAAAATTGATTTGGGACTGGCAAAAAATTGTCAGATATGAATCTAATTTTGATATATATAGACCAACTACTTCAAACTCGTCCACCTCATAACATAAATTTATCTTTTTGCACAGTGATAATTCGTGTTTGTTCTTAACATATCTTGTTTAGTGGGCCAACAGCTCATTAGACATGGACAGGAAAGGACAGCTGGGCTAGTGTTATTTTTCTGACTGGAAATGAATCTGTGATTATTAGGGAATGAAGAAGTTGCCTTAACCCTGAGTGATTGACCCAGCATATTAGAAGTGAAATGTATTTTCCTCATTTGTGTGTGAGGCCAAAGTTAAACTAGTCAACGTGTTTATTCAATAAACCATGATTCAATTAACAACGTATTAGTCATTGTGTTACTGCAGTTCCAGAATCAATACATTGGGTTCATTCCCTCCATTTTTCAAATTATTCTTGCAGCTATTCTCCAAGAGCACTAGAACTGTATTTTTTATAGCCCCGTTGCCTGAGATATTTAACTCAGATTTCTATTGCTGGCTAGGAATTGGGGCTCTGGACAAGCCAAATGAGCAATGATTATGTATGCCTTTGTCTTGCTCATTTTAAAGAGGCTTTCAGATCCATACCAAGATCACATCTTATTTTTAAACCTATTCAAATTCACTAAAGCTACATTTACTAGCCTGGCTCAAAAACGAGCAGGATAATCATGAGCATAAAATATTATCCAATTATCATGCACAGTGGACCAGAAGAGCTTAGTGGGCCTCTTCACCTGAGATTCTTAACTGAGTCAATTAAAAAATCTGCCAATGTTTTCTGCTGCAGTTTTTTTAGACATGCCAATTAATTGTATAGAAAATGAATATATAAAAACATTTCATTTTTAAAAATTCAAAACAAGATATTTTGATGAAACATTTTTAGGAGGGGTTCAAGGTGCATGCACTTACATTGTAAGACGTTCAAGTGATATGTGAAGCAGCGCTTGTCATTCATTATACAATTATCCCTCCAGTAGTGTGCAGCCTCCAGGCTTTCCACAACTCATTTAAAACCCAAAGAAAGACATGAGATAATTTATGTTTCATGTTCTTAGTTCAGAAGCAAAGGCAGCCTAGGAGGCTGCAGAATGATGGAGAAGTATTGGGGGGGGGGAACTCAACAACAATGGCATTCTTGGCCAAATTGCAACTCTAGGTAAACAAAACCCATGTCAAAATATATTCTAAACAAAAGCTTGATCCTGAGTATCAAATGGAAAAGCAGAAGTCTTTCTCACAAGAAAAAAAAAACATTTTGCAGAATTGGAGGACTAGGTTTCAAAACCATGACCATAAAGTCATCAAACTGTATAGATGAATATATGCTTATCAGAGCAGATGGTTAAATAAAAAGCAAAATGATATCTAATTTAAAATCTCAGAATCTACTTTACATATAGGCTTTATAAACTTTAAATATAGAAGTTTTTTATCTGTGTCCAATAACCTTGTACTAAAAGTCTGGAGTAGATTGATCAAAATACTTTGTTGGTAGGACAGATTTTTCTTGATTTAAAAATCTACAATAAAACAATACAAGCGAGTCAGGCAAAGACAATAATCCTAACTTTTTTCACTAAGATTCTTTATTTTAATTAGACACTGATGAGCCTCCTCTTAGCAAGGCGGGAGAAGATATTATTCTTCAGCTACCTGTTGACTGGGTTATTCTGGATGGCAGAGAAAGTGTGGATGACCATGGAATCACACGATTTGAATGGACATTACTTCAAGGTGCATCATCAGTTGATATGCAGGTACATTATGTTTTGCAATACAAGGTATATTATTTGCTGTGCCATTTGTGGGATTTTAGAAACAACAAAGTTAAATATTCACTGTTCTGTCAGAATAAAGCAAAGTAAAGAAATATTAGAGACAGTCACTTGTTTTGTTCAAATTTTTTTTTCCTGAAGCATGCATGTGTGAAATTGGGTCTACAGATGAATGCGTGCAAATACCCTGGCAAACATAGACAGAGAACAATTAGATTCAGATTTAGTGATGTTCAGACTAAATATATTAAAATCAGTGGAACTACTATAGCCATGTCCAACTAAGTTCCTTTTTTAAATAGATCTGAGATTTAGTTCATGCATCTTCATTAAGCTATGGTTTATGTAATCACAATTTATTGAAAAAAATCACAGTTGGTTTCACACATGTTAAGCCATAAATCATGATTTATAAACCACAATGATGAAGAACAAACAAAATTCAAGTTCACCCTCAATTATGAAAATCCACTGAGTGACTGTGGACTCAGTCTTTTGAGCAGATTATATTGAAATGTTGTTTTATTGCAGCTAAGCTTTTGGGGGGGGGGGAAATATTCTTTTCAAATAAGCCTCCTGAAGTGGCAAAACAAACTGTCCAAACTAAAGGAAGGAACTGACATGATATTTTAAGTTAGGAGTCAACATGTGGGTCATGACCCTCTGAGTGGTCGCAAACAAATTGCAATGGGAGGAGTTGCTCAAACAAGCCTGATTACTCTGAAATGTGGTTCTGCCCTGCCTAGACAAATTAGTAGTTGGCTTTCCCAGTCACAGCAGGATCAAGTTCTCATAGACTCTAGCTTTGCATGTGCAAATGTGATAGTTATGGAATATGGTCTTAAGTGCATTCTCCTTCCACTCGGTCTAGTTGGTAATGAGAAGATCAGGTCAAGATTGCTTCAGCTTTTTCTCTTGCCTTGGTGAGCTATTGCTTGGGGTGGCATTGCAGAATATGAGTACCATATGTTTGCTGGCATATTTAGGAAAATCTATATCTTGGACACTGCAGGGCTCCAGCATTGTGCTGAAAGACAGGGTCACCTTTTTTTTTATTTTGAAGGCATGTGCAAAACTGAAAGAAATTGGGGCAAGGGAGAAATATGCAAAGATGATTGGTAGAAAAGGAAAGAAAGGGTGCTTTGGATGGCAGTGGACTATGGAAATAGAAGGAATGGGACAGACTCACCTGTAGAGCAGGGGTTCCCAACCCCCGGTCCGTGGACCGGTCCCGGTCCACAGCATGCCAGTAAAAGGGCTGCACAAACAAGCAAAGCTCCATCCTCAGGACGCAGGCAGTATTCAAAACCACATACCCTCTGGTCCGCGGAAAAATCTTTCTCCATGGCACCAGTCCGCGGTGCCCAAAAGATTGGGGACCTCTGCTGTAGAGAATCCCCAGAAATTTGGCTTTCGTTTCCTTTCCTTTCATTTCATTTCCTTCCCTTCCTTTCCCTTTCCTGGCTTCCTGATTCCAGGAAGAGAGGCTTGCAAAAGAAGGTATTTTTATGTTGGATAGGATACCAAGATCCCATGCGGGGGTAGGAGGAAGAGGTAGAAGGTATAAAATGCACAGGAAAGAAAATTGTGACTGATAGTGCTTTGCCTCTAGTAGCTGCTCATGTCTCATTCATTTTCTCCTCGTATCCTGGAAGATTGCCTTTTGAATGGGGAGAAAGGACTGAGTTGGATAGGGCTGCAGTTTTACATGCATAAAAGGGAATAGTTAAGCAGGGGTCTTAAAACTTGGCCCTTTTATGACTTGTGGACTTCAACTCCCAGAGTTCCTTAACCAGGCATGCTGGCTGAGGAGTTCTGGGAGTTGAAGTCCACAAGTCATAAAAGGGCCAAGTTTGAAGACCCCTGAGTTAAGGGAAAAATTTGATGCTAAGCTGATCTCTGGCACTCATTACAATTGGGAAGACATTCCTTACTTGATTCATGGGATTACTTCAACATTTTAAGTACAGGACCACAGAATTTGAGAATCCAAGTTTAAACAAAGATTCATCTGAGAAATCTATGAGCAAAATAACTGCATCTATTATCATTACAAAATATTGTTTACAGGAATCGATTTAGACAGTACAAAGTATTTATAGGAACACTTCCAAAAATTGTAGTTATTTATTGAATTCAGGACTTGCCCTATTGTCATCGTACAGATGCAGTCGAAGGGGTACTACTACAGTAGTTATTACTTTATTATGTAGTTATTTATTATGTACTGCAATCATATTTTGCTTAATCAAAGTTTATCTTCAATGGGGTTGCAATATTGTTGCAATTCACTGAAATATTATCATTTGTATTATTGCATCTTTAAATTAATTATTTTGTGACAAAACAAATTCCAAAATTAATATTAAAAGGGTATGCCTATCCTATATCTTAAACCATTTGGTTGTTTTATTGGTGTATCTTGCAAATTAAATTGCTATCTGGAAAAAAACAATCATATGGCAAACCCCAAACATAAATAAGAATATTTCACTTTAAATTTAGCAGATTTTTCCCCCCAAAACCGAATGACCTTCAGTTTGCTTAAGTTTCATAAAATGTTTTAGACCTGCTGAATAAAAACAGACATTAACTGAAGCAAAGAATGACTGCAAATTGATCTTGATCATGAACATCCATTTTATTCCCCCTCTTAAAAGACAGACTATAAAGTAAGAGAGAGTATGGAAAAAGTAACCCCATTATAATTGGTGTCTGGAATTTAAAAAAAAAATCGACAAGGAAAACTTAAATAGTAAAAATTATGAGCAACCTTCTACATGGCAAAAAGGTCAGATTATTTGAGGAACCACCTTACTCCCAATCACAGCTGCCTGTCGCATCAGACGTGGCACAAAAGACATGTTGTGTTTCCTGCATACAAAGGAAGGTGGTCTTAGCAGCTTCGGTCATCATGGCCACCCCTAATGCAGAAAGTGGTTGCCTCCTAGAAGCCAACACATAAAGCCTGATTACAGTTATTGTTAACATAATTGCGGTCAGTTACTGATTATATTTGCTCTCAGTAATGTTGATGTTAATGAGTTAATTTTCTATTCTTCAGCTTACAATGGTGGCTAGAACTCTATGTTTGAACAAGATAAAAGATAGATGCTTTGTTCAAGTCACCTGAATTCTGAGCAAGCAGTGGTGTAAGGAGAAATTAAACATATCACAGTGCCTTTTGGAAAGACCTACAGCATTTAGGTCAGGGACAGCTGGCTAGAATAAGGACAACTTGTATTGTTTCAGTATGCCTGATGCTAAGGCAAATGCCATTTTATTTTGGGAAGTTTATTTACTTATTCATGTGATGTATATAGCTGCCCTCTCGGCACATGATTCAGAATAGCATATATCACCAATAAACAAATCACAATTGAGTGCATATAAAAGCAACACAATGAACAAATAATCAAAAACCCAACAGGACATAAAATGCTTGGAAAAGGTTCAGCCACCTGGGAAAAGAGCCAGTAATGCTTTTTGAAAGGCAGGCAGGGTCAGGCCAATTAAATCTCATGGGGAGGCTGTTCCAAAGGGCAAGAAGGGCAACTAAGAAGGCACATCCTCTAGGCTCTGCCAGATAACCCTGTCTAAGTGACAGGCATGCCAGGACTGTAAGATCTCACTGGATAGATTGAATTAATCAGAGATAACAGCTGCACAAGTAACATGGCCCTGCACCATGAAGAGCTTTATACGTGAGAATCAACATCTTAACTTCCATCCAAAGCACATTGATAACCACAATGTGAGCTTCACTCACATTAAGTGGACATACTGAGATACCCCCATAACTACCTGTAATGCTGCATTCTGGTCCAGCTACAGCACGGGTGTCAAACTTTGCCACCCGTGCTGTATGATGTGTCGCGACGTATCGCGACTCTTTTTGCATTGCCAGCAATGGGGTGGGCGCGGCTTCGGTATGATGAAACCGGCCTGCGGGCCAGCAGTTTGACACCCCTGAGCTTCCAAGTGGTCTTCAAGGACAGCCTCACAATACAGCACATTGCTGTAATCTGAGAGGTGACCAAGGCATGATTGATTATGAACAGGGCCTCCTGATCCAAAGTGGGTATAGGTAGTCCTCAACTTACAATCACAGTTGAGCCCAAAATTTATGTTGCCAAGTGAGAAATTTGTTAGGTGAGTTTTGCCCCATTTGACAACTTTTCTTGCCACATTTGTAAAGTGAATCACTGCAGTTGTTAAATTAGTAACCTGGTGGTTAAATGAGTCTGGTTTCCTCATTAACTTTGCTTGTCGGAAGGTTACAAAAGGTGATCACATGACCCTGGGATACTACAACCGTCATAAATGTGAGTCAATTGTCAAGCATCCAAATGTAAGTCATGTGACCAAGGGGATGCTGCAGGGTTCATCAGTGTGAAAAGTGATCATAAGTCACTTTTTTCAGTGCTGTTGCAACTTCAAACCGTCACTAAGAGAACTGTTGTAAATCGAGGACTACATGTATAATTGTAACTGCGCAAAGGCCTTCTGAGCCATGGCTGTCACCTGCTGTTGAAAATTGACAGAACAGATCAGGGTTTCTCAATCTTGGCAACTTAAAGACATGTGAAGCACAACTCTAAGCTGGCTGGGGAATTCTGGAAACTGAAGTCCACATGTCTTGAAAATTGCTAAGGTTGAAAAATGTTGGAGTAGATCCATCCCCCGTAGAAGAAATAATATTGCTTTGTGATTTAGTCATAACAGGAAGAAAATAATGCATTTCTATCTGTAATAATCTTTTCAGTAGGGCTTTTTCCTACATTAAGCCTGCAAAAACTTCCCTGTCCTTTCTCTTCCAGTAGTATAATAGAGTGTTCCTCTCCACTTGCAACCCAATGATGTGCTAAGATTTTGATGGTTCGGTTTTGTGCACACCTATTCAACATAGTGGAAGTTACAACCAATGACAAGGAAAGATGGATGTGGGGATCTATAGAATGAGAAGATTAGTTTAGTCGAATCATAAGCAGATGGCATCCATAGAGCTTATAATGTTGGCCAAATTGAATTCCCAGATCTACAGAAAAAAAAAATTCTGGAAGCAACAGAATAGAATCTATAATGCCAGTGATAAAAGCTGTGAAGAAATGGATTCTCTGTGCGAAATATGTGTGTATGCCTGAGGGCTTGAAAGAACAACCTCCTTCTCTTTGCTCCTTGAGAAAGCTGCTTGATTCACTGAGATGTAAAATATGAATTTCCCCTTTGTATTTTAAGATCAGCAGAGAGCTGGAGAATTTCAAACACTTTACTCTCTTATGGTAGCACTGCACTGAAATGTTTACGTTCTCAATCTGCAGTTTTGCTATAGCCATCCTGAAATCTAAGCGAGCATTGATCCAATGTGGTGCAGGGTGGGAGACTTACAAATTATCACCGTTCCTGTTTCCAGTATCCATTTTCCCAATAAAACCTAGACGTGTTTGGACCTGCTTTACCTGTGCTGAGACAACCTAGTAGGGGTAGAAAGCATGATATAGTATTAACAAGTTTAAAATTACAGCCTCCCACGTATATGATAGTGTGTTTGTGTGTGTGTGTGCACGTGTGTGCGCATCTCAGTCCTCACATGATTTTATGAGAGTTGTACCTTGGTAGCTGTAGTATGAAGAATGGGATTCCATCAGTACCCTATTTTCTTTGGCTCAGGTACCTCAGCCAGGAACACTGAAGCTCTCTCATATGCCAGAAGGAAAATACACACTGCAGTTGACTGTGACTGACACAGCTGGACAAAGGAGTTCGGATAACATCTCAGTGACTGTACTTCCAATGATTCATTCTGAGTTAGGTGAGAAAACTGCCGAAACCACTGTTTTCTTGTTTTGATGGCTGAGAGTGAGATTGTGTATGTCTGTAATTAAAATCACAACGGAACCTGCTGTAAATACATTGCAAATAGGGTGCAGGTCTTATTATTTAAACCACATTAAAGCGGTAATCTCCACAATGTACAACATCCACCGTATTTCCTTCTACCCCGGCGCTTTTTAACTTGGGCGACTCTAAGATGTGTGGACTTCAACTCCCAGAATTTCTAATGGCCAAGGTTGAAAAACACACTGTACAAAAGCCTGTCCTCTTTTTCATTTGGCTCTCCTGGCGTGCTATTTCATGCATACTAGTAAACTGTTTTATAGATGTAGTGTCTAAGACAGGAGCCTTCAAACTTGGCAACTTTTAACACTTGTGGACTGGCTGGCTGAGGAATTCTGGGAGTTGAAGTCCACAAGTCTTAAAGTTGCCAAGTTTGAAGACCCCTGCTCTAAGATATAATTTTGCCATTATATGTGGCACCCGTTATAGTAGGATCCAAAATACTAACCTGGGAAGAACTCTTGAAATTGAGCAACACGTTTAAGCAACTTTATCTCATAAGAAAGTAGTTTTCCTTCTATATACAATACCAAGAATTGCTTCATTCCTTTCTACATAATGCACAGTCACTCCAATCATCTTGTTGAATGAATCCCATATGGTATTTACTCCAATTGACTCTGGGTGGTTTACAAACCGATGCCAATCAAAAACAAGATGACATCTGGGCATAATGTACAAACAGGAAATAAAAATAACAAATATGCAAAAAGCATTTGTTCCAGCACCAATTCTGTGTGCCAAGTGTGTTAGTAATTTCTACATTTCAATCCTGTCTTAAATGAGCTCCTAGAGAACTCAAGATGGCATATCTAGTCCGCCATTTTTTTCCCCAACCAAGCAATCCGGTGAGGTCGATTGGGAGCCAGCAATGGAACTGTCCAAAGTCACCTAGCGAGCAATCATGGTTGAGGGTGGACTTGAATGTGGATCTGGCTACTCTTAGTCCAGTACCTTAGCAATTACATGCGCTGGCTCTGTAATGGTCAATAGAAATATCTTTGAAAGACAGGAGGCAGAAGAGCAGCAGCCAGGGCAATGATGAGATAAGAGACATCTCAGCCCACAGAAAGAATGGGGGTGTGGAAAGTCTGTTATTGTACCCCAGGGGTAGTCAACCTTGGCTCTTTTATGACGTGTGGACTTCAATTCCCAGAATTCCTGAGCCAGCTTAGCTGGCTCAGGAATTCTGGGAGTTGAAGTCCACGAGTCATAAAAGAGCCAAGGTTGACTACCCCTGTTGTATCCTTTACAAGAAAGGCAGAGTTAGTTTCTTCTCTGGATTACCTTGAAAGGCTGATAGGCTCTTGCTACCTACTTCTGAATCTCTCCAAATATAACCAGTTTCAGTAGGAAACATCTCATTCTTGAGTCACAGCCAATGGTCAGATTTAGATGTTGGGGACCAGATTCAGGAATCATGATTTATGCGGTGCTAAGACCAGAGGATACCACAGCCTATTTGTACTGCATATACTGCATCTCCCTTCTCCTTCCCACAGCCTTCCTGTCTCTACCAGCCTAGGTTGCCCCAGTCTTAGGAGGAAAACTCCATTGTTGCACCCTGGGCCTGGCTCATTGCTTTTACCTCCTGGACTTTGCTCCATTTTTCCTATCTTTCCACTCCGGGTTTTTATAACCTCTCCAGCTCAGCTGTAATTTCCCCGCAACATTCTAATCACCATAGCAACCATTGCGGGGAAAGTATCCTTGCTCTCCTGACCCTTCTTTCTCCTATTATTTATTTATCAGAATTATGTTCCCCACTTTTACTCAGGAGCTCAATTTAAACAATCTAAATTTTCATTTTGGGTTGCATGAGTGAGATCGAGCTATACAGTACTAAAAATTCAAGAGAATCACCAAAAGGTTCTTGTAGGATACCAGTTGCTGAAAGATATTCTAGGGTTGCCTCTGATGCTTATGAAGAGAACTACAAGCTTGACATTCTGACAAATGATCTGTCAACAGACATACAGGTAGTCCTTGACTTACAACAGTTCATTTAGTGACCGTTCAAAGTTACAACGGCACTGAAAAAAAGTGAGTTAGGACCGCTTTTCACACTTTTCACGCTTTTCATATTACGGCATCCCCATAGTCACGTGACCAAAGTTCAGATGCTTGGCAACTGACTCATATATATGACTGTGTGCAGTGTCCTGGGGTCATTTGATCACCTTTTGTGATCTTCTGACAAGCAAAGTCAATGGGGAAGCCAGAGTCACTTAATTGTGTTACTAACTTAACAACTATAGTGATTCACATAACAACTGTGGCAAGATAGGTTGCAAAATGGGACAAAACTCACTTAAGTGTCTCAATGTTGGGCTTAATTATGGTTGTAAGTTGAGGACTACTACCCCATTTATGAAGCATTCAAAGGGACTAATCAAAGGCCAAGACAGGAACAAATGTTGCTGAGCACTTCCTCCCTTATCAACGTACCAAAACCCAGGGAAGGAGGAACTGACGTCTAATCATCACAATAAGCAGCAATGAAAGAAGAACCTATACCACTAATCATCACATCCTGCCCTAATCCGACAAGGCTGGTAGTCCAGTCTATTATATCTAAACAGACAACAAAGGTCACACCGAACAACCTGCTGCTTAGTAAGCTAGAAAAAGGTGGGATAGACAACAACACCAGATGGATCTGTAGCTGGCTGACAAAGCGTACTCAGCGAGTAGTCCTCAACAGCACTACATCCACATGGAGAGAAGTAAGCAGTGGGGTACCACAAGGCTCTGTCTTAGGCCCAGTACTCTTCAATATCTTCATCAATGACTTAGATAAGAGAATTGAAAGGGAACTCATCAAATTTGCAGATGACAGCAAACTGGCAGGAGTAGCCAACACCGCAGAAGACAAACTCAGGATCCAAAAAGATCTCGACAGACTTGAACAATGGGCCCTATCCAACAAAATGAATTTTAATGTGGAGAAAAGCAAAGATTTACATTTAGGCAGGAAAAATCAAAGGTACAAGTACAGATTAGGCGAGACCTGGCTCAAAAACAGTAACTGTGAGAGGGACCTTGGAGTCCTAGTGGACGATCACTTGACTATGAGCCAGCAGTGTGCAGCAGCAGCCAAAAAAGCTAATACAATCCTGGGTTATATAAATAGAGGCATAGAATCAAGATCACACGAAGTGTTAGTACCGCTTTATAAAACCCTAGTAAGACCACACCTGGAATACTGCAACCAATTTTGGTCACCATACTACAAAAAAGATGTTGAGACCTTAGAGAAAGTTCAGGGAAGAGCAACTAAGATGATCAAAGGCCTGGAGACTAAAACATATGAAGAATGGCTGCCGGATCTGGGTTGGGCTAGTCTAAAGAAAAGAAGAAATAGGGGTGACATGATAGCAGTATTCCAGTATTTGAGGGGCTGCCACCAAGAAGAGGGCATCAAACTATTCTCCAAAGCACCAGAGGTCAGAACAAGAAACAATGGTTGGAAACTGACCAAAGAGAGAAGCAATCTGGAATTAAGGAGAAACTTCCTAATAGTGAGGACAATTAACCAGTGGAACAGCTTGCCTTCAGAAATCGTGGGAGCTCCATCATTGGAGATTTTTAAGAAGAGACTAGACAGTCACTTGTCTGAAATGGTATCAATTCTGCTGCTCGAGCAGGGGGCTGGACTAGAAGACCTCCAAGGTCCCTTCCAGCTCTATTCTATTCTATTCTATTCTATTCTATTCTATTCTATTCTATTCTATTCTAACAGTTGCACAAAGCAAACCAAGCTCAGAGAACATCAAGAATCCCAAAATTCAGCCCCCAGCTACCGGTACATATGGACCTACCCCTTATTTAGCAACTGAATCTCATTCCAATTACCAGGAAAAGTATTAAGCAAAATGAAATGATTGTTAAGTGAACACATGAGGGGGGGGAGGGAGGGAGGGAGGGAGAGAGAGAGAAAATGCAAAATCATTGGTTGCTGCCATCTCATTCAGATAGTTCTCTTACACAGCTACACCGGCATTATTCTCACTTTAGCATGTATTGTTATTAGATGCCCAAAATTTGGTCATAAAGATGCATATTGGTTGGAAAATGATTTTTATTACCATTTGTTATCATTATATTTGCCAATGGTTATTAGCTGAGGTAATTGCTAAATGAGGAGTGGATGTAATCTCTATTGTTAAATATTTATACAGACTTTACAAAATCACTTTGTGAAATAGATGTATATGTACAGCACACACACACATATATACAACACACACACACATACACATAATGTTGGGGAAAATTGGAAGAAATGAGAGGGCTACATACACTGCTTTCAGCTTTGAAACAATAGGCAGGATATAAATCCAATAAATAAATGTAAGGCAATAAAGGTCATATAAAATGCAACAATTATGAGCAATCAACTCACAGCAGCAGCTTTCAGCTCAGCAAGTAGAATGCAGATTAAATCCCATGTATGCACTATTTGTACAGTGGGCAGAATTTGGTTTTAACTGGTTGGTTGCTTCTTTTTTTCCCCTTGTCCAGAGATATGGTTTTGCTTTATTCTTCTACCTGAAATAATCATAGAGCCATTTTATGAAGGAGGGGGATGAAAGGTTGTATGACGGGGGGTGGGGTGGGGGCCTTCCACTGCTGCAATATACATTTTAAACAGCTGCTTCTTATTATTTTGCAAATTAATTTGCTTTCTAACCCGAGAATTGGCCTATTGCAGGTTGTGTTGGGAAGTGTTCCCGTTACCAGTTCCTCTGTGATGATGGCTGCTGCATTGACATCACTTATGCCTGTGATGGGGAGATCCACTGTCCTGATGGGTCAGATGAAGCTTTTTGCCAGAAGTGTGAGTGAACGGAACCTGTCCATTTAAGCATTAAAAAATAGCTCAATAATAAGTGAAGGCATGTCATTTTGAAATCCTGCATTTGAGTCTTAGTGTGAGAAAAATAGTAATAGCAATAGCACTTAGACTTATATACCACTTCATAGTGCTTTGCAGCCCTCTCTAAGCAGTTTACAGAGTCAGCATATTGCCCCCCAATAATCTGGGTCCTCATTCTACCAACCTCGGAAGGATGGAAGGCTGAGTCAACCTTGAGCCAGTCAGAATCAAACTCCTGGCTGTGAGCAGTGAGTTAGCCTGCAATACTGCATTCTAACCACTGTGCCATCATGGCTCCTATGAAAAGACTAAAGAGCCATCATCACTGAGATTGTGATAGAAGCATGGTTTAGATCCATACTCAAACATTTTGTATATCTCTGAAGTTGCCAGAAGTTGCAATGTCTTCTTAGTTTTCTTCCAGGAAATGTAAGTACACAGTCGCTCCATTGGTGGCATACAAACTAGCAGTACCTTTTATTATTTGAAAAAAAAAGAAAACACATAGAAGAGGGGGAAAAACCCGGTTAAGCAACATTTCCTTTTTTTTTAAATGCTACCATTTGCACACTAATATCAGTACTGATTTCTTCTAGGCCAGTGTCTCTCAATCTTAGCAGCCTGAAGATGTATTGACCTCAACTCTGGGGAATTCTGGCTGGGGAATTCTGCAAGTTAAAGTCCACTCATCTTCAAGTTGCCAAAGGTTGAGAAACAGTGGTCTACTCTAGACACACCAGTGGCTTAAAAAGAATACAGTTGTCTTGGGTCCCACACGCATAGGTCTCACCTGTCTCCTTTGTCCTTTTCTTGCCCCATGTTTTCAGCAAGGCTAATTGCGTGGTGCATTCTTAGGATGCAAGTGTCCAGTTGGCCAGTTGGGTTTTGACTATCACTATGCTATCTTCTAGCTAGCTTATGCAGTCCAGGCATTATGTGTCTACAAAAGAAAAACTTTGTGGCAGGTGTGTAGACTGGATTTTTGAGCAGGAAAGGGTGAAGGGATATTTGAGTGAGTGAGAAAATGAAGATAGCCCATCACAAAATGACATGTGACCTTCATTTACTTTGTCTCACGTCAGTGGTATCTGGCTGATCACTATGAGAAGCTAAACAACGAATTAAGTTGGACTTTGGCCTGATCCAATAGGGCTTTCCTTGTGTTCTTGTGTTTGTTTTTTTAATACTCAGATAATTCAGGACAGAATGCAATAACTCACATAGAGACTATTCAACAAAATTCAGCTGAATTAATGAAAAAGGCCAATGAACACCTTACATTTGAAATCACCCAGACAAGTACACTAAGCGGTCAAGTATTTGAACCAGAGAAAATCAAACAATCACCCTCTCAGGGACCAAAGAAACAAACTACCAGGTTTATACCAGGTAAGATTAACACATTTATTTGTTTGTTTGTTTATTTATTTATTTATTTATTTAAATGTATTGGCCGCCTCTATAAAGGAACTTCTGGCAGATTACAGTCATAAAAATATATATCTACATTAAAACATAAATAAATTAAAACCAAAGATTAAAATCTAAGGACACGTGGGAAGGGTAGGGGAGGGTGGGGATGGAATAGGGGGGGAGGTATGATCTGTTGTTACTCGATTGACCACCTCCACCGTTATATTTTGAATCAATTGTTTTTTCTACAGTCCTATGAATTGGCAAAATGCTATTGCAATCCTCAGTGTGCTGCAGTCTAAGCATTCGTATGATTATGTATATTAATGTATTACAGTATTATAATAGTATATTAGTAAATAGGTTTACTTGCAAGGTTAAGCTTATTTTTGCTCAAATGTAGAATTATTGTGTATACTCATGTATAAACCTATCCACAGAATAAGCTGACCCTCAAATTTTTAACCCAAATGCCATGAAAACATGTACCCCTCATGGATAAGCTCTCCCTCAAAAATATTTAAGGTTTAATTTTCACAATTGCTCCTTGAATGACTATAGAAATCTGTTAAAGAAATGCATGCAATTAATTCAGCTACAGCTTTAGGAAAACAGGTGATTTGACGAGTAATACTCATGTATACAATCAAGGTTTGGCAGAGATGGGCAAAAGATAGATCATAATTCATATATGTATCTGAAAAACACCAGTGAATCAATCAATGTTTTCCCTATATATTTTGCACAGACTTTGAAAAAAATACAGAGGTATAGTCAATGCTATTCTTGTAATACTGGAGCACACTTCCGTGTGCTTATGTGGCTGCCTCCTACTCACTGCAGCCCTTTTGTCTCTGCAAAGCTGCTCCTGAAGATTATAATTGAGATTGCGCATCATTGCATGAGTGAACACAGGATGGAATTTCTGAAAATGAGAGGCTTCATTTTATATGAGCAAAAGTGTTTTCTACTAGTAGTACACTACCTCTTGGATGGAATCAGTAGAGGTAGTCATTGATTTACAACAGTTCATTTAGTGACCGTTCAAAGTTGCAACGGTACTGAAAAAAGTGACTCATGACTATTTTTCACACTTAGGACTGCTGTAGCATCCCCATGGTCATGTGACCAAAATTCAGATGCTTGGCAACTGACTCATATTTATGACGGTTGCAGTGTCCCGGGGTCATGTGATCCCCTTTTGCAATCTTTTGACAAGCAGCCAATGGGAAAGCCAGAGTCACTTAACAACCATTTTACTAACTTAACAACTGCAGTGATTCACTTAACAACTGTGCCAAGAAAGATCGTAAAATGGGGCAAAATTCACTTAACAATTGACTCGTTTAAAAACAGAAATTTTAGTTCTCAGTTGTGGCAGTAAGTTGAGGACTACTTGTAATCTCCCTAGCTCAGGGATAGGCAACCTTGGCTCTTTTGTGACTCGTGGACTTCAACTCCCAGAATTCCTGAGCCAGCCGGCTCAGGAATTCTGGGAGTTGAAGTCCACGAGTCACAAAAGAGCCAAGGTTGCCTACCCCTGCCCTAGCTTGTTATATTAGAAGATAGATTGTTTTTACTCAGTGAGGGGGAAAAACAGTTTAAATCAAAGCTGTAAGAGCTTTGAACAAACCAGATTCAATATAGTATGGAATAGTAATGGCACATAATGCCATGTGGCTCAAGCATGTATACATGTTCTATCATGTATTCAAACTTCCCTTCACTGAAGGCAGAACCATAGGGAAATTCTGTCATTAAACTACTTATGAACAAATTTCTATCACCTCACCCTTCCTGTTGTGCTTCCAGGGTGAGATACATGTAGCCTCAGGATTATTTGACTGGAATATACAAGGGATGAATGCCTTATATAGGGAAGCAACATCTTCAATATGAAGAACAGTGAGTGAAGTGGGTGGAAATAGCTGGACAGTTCCAGGTGGTTGGTTTTTGTTATATTCAGGGGGAAAAGGCAACCTACTCAGATGGGTGCATTTTGAGAACTGTGGCTAGAAAAATTCTTTTCAGGTCAACCAAAGGGGCAAGGACAAGATTTTGTATTCTGTTACAGCCTTTGTTTAAATTACGGCAATGTATTCCAGGTATAACACCTCACTGCTGTCTGATTTTCATATGTTAAGGATAATTACAAGGATTTAGAGTTACCCTATTTTTCTTCTTATAATTACAGAGCAATGCTTGCTCCCCCTAGCCACTGGCTCATGCAACAGACACCTCCCTCGCTGGCATTTCGATGCTTTTTCAGGCACTTGCATGCATTTCATCTATGGTGGCTGCAAAGGCAATGAAAACAACTTTCTTCAGGAATCTGACTGCCTTGCTGAATGTGTAAAAGTTCATGGTAATAATCAGTGTAAAAGTTCATGGTAATAATCAGTCACCTTTTGGGGTAGGGAGGTGGCACAACATAACATACCACTACACTTTGCTCTGTAGCCCCACTGGAATCCCATTTTGCATTTTAGCAATCCTTCTATTGATGGAGAAAGATTTGGTAGAAGCCAATAGTATAATTTCTTTGCAGCCTGCTACAGTGCAGCTTATTTCTGCATTTCATAGATCTGTCTATCATAAAATCTATCATAGAAATGGATAGATTTACATGGCATGTAAATATCGGAATGGCATCAAATACTGATTTTTGGGGGTCACCTTATCTATGTGGACTTGGCAGTGTTTGCCAATTTCAAAAAATTATTATTTAACATTACTAGTTAATGGGCACTAAATGGGCACTTGTCATTTATTTTGTCTAAGGTGAACAATTTTCAGTGTTTCTAATTTCCAAATTCTAAGAACAAAAAAAGAATTTGTAGAGCAGTCAGCAGTAACCCTAACCCTAACCTTAACCCTCACTACAGTATTCACAAAGTTGCTGCCATTTGTCTTAGCAATCTACTTGGTGATAAATTCACAATTATTGAATCTACAGTGTCATAATATTTTGGTCTCTGTACGTGTCCATTTAAGAATGGATTTCCTTCTACTGTCATACATGAACACAGGAAAAAGACAAGTTTATGAAAATTTTCACTTTTATTCTCTTTCCCTTTCCTTTTCCCTTCCTCTTCCTCTTCCCTTCCCTTCTCCCTTTCTTTCCCTTTTACAAAATCTGCAATTTACATTTGTAATTTAAATTTAAACTTTAAAGCTGCTGAGAAACACTGGTTTACAGGTTGAACAGTTTATAACCACTCTCTATTACTTGGCTACCAAGCCCAACAAAATGCAAGTAGAGAGCAGATGATAAATTAGTTTTTTTTAAAAATGTGGAATATTTTTATCATTCTTTTTTGCACACTTTTCTTCCTGAAGGAACTATGTTAACTAAAAGTGAATTGAAGAAACCCTATTACTGAAAGTGTTTTGCTATTGTTGAAATATAGATAGGAAGACTCTTCATTATATACTAGTTATCATGATCAAAAATAACTAGTGTATTTTAAAGCATACTAAAAACTAGGTGCAGTATATGAGGGTATTTGTGGGTATATGCATAATTCGGTATTTATTTATTTTTGTCATATTTATGTAGTGTATATCGGAGGTGGTGACCCTTTGAGAGCTGAATGCAATGAAATTTCATTTTAATCTATGCCGATTAGTGTACATTCAAAGTGACAATAAAGTTATTATTCTATTCTATTCTATTCTATTCTATTCTATTCTATATTTACATTTTATCCAATTAAAATAAATAGGTTATGTTATTGATGAGTACTTTGTTGTATTGAATCATATTGATTTTGTTAGGATTCACTTTTATTCCACATTTTTTACTAGATCAGTATAGTCTAGTGGTAAGGTGCTGGCATAGAAACCAGGAGACTGTGAATTCTAGTCCCACCTTAGTCATGAAAGCCAGCTGGGTGACTTTGGGCCAAGCACTCTCTCTCGGCCTAACTCACCTCACAGAGTTGTTGTGGGGAAAAATAAGGGAAGAAGAAGTATTATGAATGTTTGCCATCTTGAATTACTTATAAAGTAATAAAGGTGGGATAAAAATCTAAATAAAATTTGGAAAAGTTTGTTATTAAATAGTTGCATATTATACTGTATAGTAAATAATAAATAATATTGCTGTGCATGTTTCAAAACTGGTTCAGAATACGTTCTCTGGGACTGTGTGAGCATAGCATACCTCTGAGGTCCATTAAAGGATTCAGGTCATTTTTTCAGGCTTTTGGAAGAAAGACACACATGCTTTAATGAAAAATAGAGAGGTGTTGTGCTTGTGCCTTCCATGAAATCTCAACCCTTTTTCCAAATTATTTGTGTACATTATCCTGCTAAATAAGATTTATCAAATCAATTGTTTATTAAGGGATATGGTGTGTTTTAAATAGTAAGCTAAAATAACTTAAGTATTACTTTAGGCCTTTCCCCCACTTGTATGTAAGCATAGTACAAAGATGCTTTGGAAATAACTTTCATTTGTCTGGCCCATGAATGAGATAACATTAAATCATTCTTAGATGGAACTACTTCTCCAAGCTTATTGGTGAAGTTTATTGACTAAACGAAACTGTGTTGTACTCTGCTCATTTTGAAAGTGTCATTTTGAAGCTTCCCTACCAAAGGACATAATCAAGACAGATGTTCTGGCCTGGATTTCACATGTTAAATTATAATATAATCATTGCTTTAGGGCTGAATACATCAACACTTAACTCTGCCTTTTTCATGTTGGTGACATCCTAGTCTCAGATGTGAGCATCAAGTAACTTCCCAATAAATAATTCATACCAAATTGAGGAATTTAGCTTAGCCCCAAATCAAGTTAGCACCATGATCCACTCAACTGGGTCATTCAAACAAGACCAGTTATGTTTAAATCTCACCCAGAAGAGGGTCTCAGAATGCAAATATTATAATCCACAAATAAAGATATTTCTTTACAAGCTGTAAAGAAGCTAGCTTTATTACACTATCTAGTGTAAGTCATAGTTCTTGAAGCACACTGAATGTCCTGGTGCAATTTATCTGCTACTGAGATATATGTTGATGATGATGCATTGTTTTGTTTTTACAGATTCTAGAATCTCAGGGAAAGACACAGATAAGAATGACAATGATATTGTGGGCTTGAAGAGCACGCAGATTGAAAAGAGCCTTCCAGTCCCAGAAACAGGTAAAGATGAGGGCTTTTCACTGATTGATTCTGTGTCACCAAGACACAGAAATATACAATAGTGAATCACCATGAAACAAAAGGCATCACCCACAGTACACGAACTATTCAAATATCTTATTATACCATCCCATGACTATGTCCTGATAGAACAGATATACTCATCTCCTCTTAAGTGGTTCCATTTTGGAAAGTCCTTGGGAAGGTAAATTGTTTATTTTGGCTAATATGATGCTTCTGTCTTATCTATGGGCTGGCTGCTTACTTAATACATTCTACTTCTTACTCTTTTTAGGTGCTGTACTTCCACTGGCTTTGGGGTTAGCCATCACTGCTTTGCTGCTACTCATGGTTGCTTGCCGTTTGCGGTTAGTCCGGCAGAAATTAAAGAAAGCGCGACCCACTACATCTGAGGAGTCAGATTACCTCATAAATGGAATGTATCTCTAGAGCAAGATTCAGGATACCTTTTTTGCTATCAAGCTTTCTCACAAAAGTGTGCCTCTTGCATCTCACAATTCTCTTTTTAAAAGTGAAAACTGTGTTACCAAAATAAGCGACCATCTTCCCAAAATTTTCTTTTAAGGCCTATGATAGATGAGCACCAGTTGTTTTTCAAACTTGGCAACTTGAAGATGTGTGGATTTCAACTCCTATAGTTTTCCACCCTGCATACAATTCCAGGAGTTGAAGTTGACACCTCTTCAAATTGCCACAGTTGAGAAACACTAATGTACAGTTGTAATGGCATGTAGTAGCTTTCACCAACATCGTGTCCTCCACGTGTTTTGATCTACAATGCCTTTCATCCTCAAGCCAACAGGAAGCTCTAGTATGGAATTACTTTTAAGAATAGCCTATTCTTGGCAATAATGGAGGTATGAGCTAATCTGACTTATCTGTTGCAATCTCACCAAAACATAATCGCATTACTGGTGAATAAGTGCAATGCCGCTAAAGCTTAAAATACATTTAGTGTGCAAAAAAATTTATTTTAAACTTACCCTCTCTTTACGCTCTTCAGTCATTTCTATTTTGCAAACTAGTTTTGTGTGGTGATAAAACCCAATTTAAAATACTGCAAGCAAGTGGTTGATCCATACTCCTGCAATAGCATGATGTCCTGTTGCAGTAGCCCACATCACAGCAGGAATTGATACAGCAGTCACATCTAACCAAATATATTTTTGCAAATGCTTTGACTCGTTATAGGACATTACTTTCCAATTCTTTAAGTAAAGCTTGCTTTTAACGTGACATTATGATCTAGTCAAGGTATTTTCCCATGAAAAATTGCACTTGGAATATATAAATGGAGACTTGGAATTCACATGTCAGCTTCCTTTTCTACAATGGATGCAGCAGACACTGTACACCTAAAAGCATCTTATTGGTTTCCACAGGCTGGTCTTAGAGGATACAAGAGATTATATGATGGAAATGATGTACTGTGCATCATGTGTAACATGTTGAGTGATAAAAATGACATAATTTATATCATGTGTGTGATGATGTCATTACACTTGAAAAACCATTTTGACTTCAATCCGATGACTATGAAGTAACCCACTTCTCTTTAATGAATTAGGAAATCAGGCATAGAGTTCTCATTATATCGCATAACAGTTCTGACATCCACAGTACTTTGCCTGGTTCTTCTCAGTGCAGCCGGGCTCTGCTCAATTGTAATCAGACAGTACTAGATCATCTATGGGAAACTGCAGTCTTGACTTATGCATTGGAAATACTTTTGTTTGCAGATGAGCACCAATTTTAGCCTCTCTTTTATCTCTGAGGAAGGCATGACAGTTTCACCATATTACTTTAAAATTAGCTGCTCTATTTTAATTTTCCAGTGTTGGAGATAAATATAACCTTAGGCTTATATTTCTTTCTCCTTACAGCTTTTCAATCTTTTCTATTTTCATTTCTGCCTTTTTCAAAACACTTTAAGAATATCTGAAACTCTAATCTTCAGAGTACACAAGCATGTGAATTAAGTATGTGTCCACAATTCTTTAAATCAGCCATATGTAGGCTCATGGGAAGCTGCAAAGGAAACATAATCTGTTTTAAAGAGTTGCAGATAAATCCTTTATTCAATGCTTTTGGTTACTCCAAAGGACCTTATTGGAATTGAACCTGAAACGCTGCACATTCCTAATTAAAAGTAGTACAATTAAGCCATCAATAAATTAGAAGTACAATTTAGCCATCATTTCAAGCAAGTTAGTAAAAAAAAACAATTCTAGTTTATCTACTCATTTAGTTTATATAATTTCAAATGCTGAAATAGCCAAGTCAGTAATCTTTTACCTACTTGTTTTAAAACACTTGTCATTGTATGTGGATATTTACCTTTTTCATTGAAATATATAAGTAGGCCAGATCTGTATCGGCAATAGAATCTCACATTGCTAAGGGCGCATAGCAGACAACAGGGAAAAGGTGTTCTATTTTAAAAGGTTCTTTTAAATACTAAATTCCTAAAGCCTAGCATTTAGTTAAGGAGCTGAAACTGTTCCCTATTCTGTACTTATTCAATTGTAAGGAGTATTGCTTCCATCAATAAAAATAGTAATATGCCTGAAGTTTGTAATATTGATGATGTTAAAACCTCAGGACTCTTTTAACTGTCACACAGAAGTAGCTCAGATAATAAATTTAGCAATTTCTTGCAGTTTCAAATAGTAAACATTTCACAAAGCTTTAAGTCCTGGTTATTGTGCCCTTACTATAGCAAAATTGTAAAGCTTTGTCAGTTAAAAAGTTCATCCAATTGTCTAAAGGACTCTAGGTATGCCTTGCCTTAAGTATATATTGCAAAGTATTTATTCTGTGTATCAGTTATTGTAAGCTATCTTTCCTCTTCACCAAACATATAAATATGTTAACATCTGAAGGACCAGGTACAAATCAGTTCAGGAAAGACATTCAAGAAATTGGTATGTCTTATTTTAATGAACACATTACAGATGCTGAGCTGAGAAACATTAAGAAATAAATGTTTTAGTCATAATATCTTCCATGATATCTAGGTTCAACTTGTTGACAACTTTATTAATTCTGAGCATTTAATAAAAAGACTGATTTTGTCTTTTTGAAAAGTCAGCTGATTCATCTGGATTTGGGGATAAAGACAACATTAAACGTGATAGCTGCTTCCTAAATAATTAGGGTTTAAAAGCATTTCAGATTCAAAGGGAAAAAAACATTTTAAATTTTTTTTAAGTGTGCACAGGACTGAACGCAGGACTTGTTGAAAACACATTAAGCTAAATATGTCTTTTTCCAGGATTGCAATCATGAAGGGCAATTGTACAATTGCAGGAAAAGTCACAGCTGCTTTAAAAAATTGCCAGGAGGTATTACATAAATACCTTTATGTGCTTTTTCCTTCTCAGATCCAAAGTGCTATTTAGTTATAAAAGCAGTATCTTTTCTTAAGTAATAAAAAGATGTGCTTCCTAATTCACTAAAATGGAGTGTCAGAATCACCAAAAAGTACTCCGACGTGCCCATAGTCAGGTTTTTCATTAAAACCTAACATGGAAAGGCTAGAATTATAACATAACATCTATTTTTATTGATCCATATCATATCCATATCCATATCAACACAAGATTGTGTTTGTTGCTTAATATATATCAGTACTAAGATTCATTGTCCTTCCCTATGTCAGCCCTCCCTACATTCAATGCAATACTTTGTCAAATTATGCTGTACTGTTCACCAAATATTTTGCAGAACAGTAGGAAAATAAGGAGTCATTACACACTGTGAAACACTGATTAAAATTAGAACTCATTTAAGCAGACCTAAAGCAGAAAACCTTATATAATAAAGACTGATTTGCCTAAAAGTATATTTTTTCCTATTTTCACATACAGCACAAAAGATCTTAGTAGGACTATATGTAATGGAGAGTCCATCCTCTTCTGTTTTCTGATGCTTTATATGTGCCACTAATTGTAAGCTGAGGATTTAAACACCAAAACATGAAGAGCAGTTCTTACAGACACAATGCCAGTATATTCATCTCCAGATTTCAACATTTTGCACAATGATTCATATTATCTGCAAAACAATTAGTTCTTTATTTCCCTCAAAGGGTTTCCCCCCCTTTTTTTGGCTTTATTTCTGACTGGTCACAGATTTCTTCTCAGAAATGTGTAATAACATGAACTCTTTTAAATTTAAAATCTGTGTTTAATAAGGTTTAAACTTAGCCATTTCCCCAAACCTGCATTAGCTCATGTTTTATAAAGGCCATATGAAGTCATGTTTGCAATAATTTAAGTAACATTTTAAAGCTGACTCTATAATTATTAAGCATTTATTTAATAAGGGTTAATTCATTATATGCGGGAGTAGTTCTAGAAAATTAAACAATGGATGCTACACCCAAAGTATTTCATGTTACTTTTTACTACCCTATGTATTTGACTATGTTACATGGCTTCATAAATTTCAGTTGTTGAGAACAAATCAACTGTTAAACAACCATGATAAATTAAATGTATGGAACTATTTATAGAAGGTCACTGGATTATTTAAATAAAATATGTTTTGCCACTCTAACTGGTGATAATGAAAATGAGGGAGAATAGTTCTTTTTATTCAGTTAGGGAAAGAGCAGGATTTGCATCTCTCTTTCTCAGAAGACTTGGAGTTAGGATTGTTTTTTTTAAAAAACCCTCTTTTTTTCTCAAAATTATTCTAGTCAAATCCCAAATAAATTATTTTGTCCAAAGCAATACACTAAAATGGCTTCCCAATTAGAACAGCAATGATACAGTATTAACACATTAAGTTGAACTATTTAGTGTATTCACACATTTTTCAAATGGCACCTTATTGCTATGAAGATGGCATAAACTTGAATTGCTTTTTAAAATCAGAATCATTGGACTTGCTTCGTATGATAAGTGTGCATACTCATTTTTCAATGAACTAAATAGACAAAAGTCTTCAGAAATTGTTATAGAAATGTTTAGGCTTATTCATCAATGTAATTGACATTGCTATCATGTGGAATACCGTTGAATATAAAGCGCACACTTCTATCCCAGTATCTGTTAAAGGTTGATGGGATTGGGTTATTTCTTCTTCGTAATACTAGCAGATATTTTCTGGGACACTGAAGAAACTCTGAAGGAAAGTGAACTTTTGGTAGAAATATTCTCAGCAACCTCTCAGCTACCCAGGAGATCTCTATTGAAAACATTATTTGCCACACCTTTTTGCTTTTGATTTTATTTGGCAAAGCAGCACTGTGAACTGTTCAATGATTAGGACATAACTTACACAGTAATTGTTATATTACACTCAGATACTTCAAGTCAGCTAGAAACAATACTCAGCTATGAATTTCTTAGCTATGCTACAAGGAAAGGAGGGGAACTATGTTAGTTATGTCCATCCTGAACAGCAGCGTAAAATAAATGTTAGCCTTGTTGATGCTTCCAAGTGTATATACATGTTTGATTTCCTTAGTGAGAAGAAAAGCAGCTGATTGTATATGCTACATGCTAGTCTATAATACCATGTTGATAGCTTTGAAGAAATGCATCTGATTTTAGTAGGATCTAGGAGTCAGCTGAACACAAATCTTAAGTGTGCAGATAGCATAAGAAAGTGCAGGTAAGCAGTTTGGTGAACAAACACTGGAGCTGAAATGTTTAGAAAGTTTCCAAATTGAAAAATAAAAGAAGATAAACTGCAGATACATCTGCTTATCTGCAGACATATATCACTAACAGATGAAAATAAGGGCATATTGAAAGGAAACAATTCGCCCAGGTTTAATTTTTTTCCATCAGTCCATTATCAAACTTGCATTAAACCTCTACAAAATTAAAAAAAAACAAAACAAAACCACTTTTCCATGCTGATAACAGTGTAACACGGTCCAAAACAAGCCGCAATGCTGTTGATTTGGAAAAAGCTTTTTAAGAATTGGAGATGAGCAGTCCACTGTTAACACTATGTTTGGATCAGATGTTGTAGCTTTTATATTTCATCCCTGCAAAACCAAAAGAAAAAAATTAAGTCTAGTTTTCACATATATTTCTGAAAATTCAGCTCATTTTCAGATACTGCTGAAAAATTAAGATTCACATACTGAATCAAATGGTCAGCATCAAAGTAACAGTCACATTAAACAAAACAAAATGTGATTTTTAAATAAAATAAGTCCCTATCCCTTCATATACTTCATGGTAAAGTCAGTAAAATTGCCATCAATTTAAAAAAATATGTGGCTACCTTTATTTTTCTGAAGACATGAATGCTGTAGCTATCTGCAGAACATTTACAGTAGAGATTCACTTGCAATTATGATCCAATTACTCAATACCTGTGCAAAAGGCTGCATAATGGGAAATCTGAGTTCAAAATTTTATTGCAGAATTTTGATAAAACTATTTCCCTCTAGAGAAACTGGATTTTGCCTGCACGAATGAAAACTATTATAAGATGAATAATATTTAACATGGAAAAGGATCAGAAAAGCAGCAAGAAAAAATTTATTCCCCTCCCACCATCTCCATTGCTCCCCAATATCTTAAATAATATAAAATAGGATTGGTTGTCAAAAGCAAATTATTCATTAACATGGCCCAATGTCTCTGCTTTGAGAATGTTAGTTCTAACTGCAACCTCTCAGGTTTTAAATGTTACTTGCCTTCTGCTACAGACACCTTTATTGTCAGTAGGACAATGGCTTCTAAGCATGGCCAGTTACACTACATGCACTTCAATGATAAAATATTATGAAATGTGCAAAATGGCTTTCTTATTCAAATATAAAGTATCAATCCAGTTTAAGTAACAATTATATTACTGATAGATTTTAAAGCAAGGATGTGCAACTTCTATAGTAAGAGAAGTTAAACACCATTTACAATAAAAAATGGAATAGTGACCCAAAACTTTTACTTGATTTTGTATTACTGCTGCCTTAAATACTTTTCAAAATATAAATTAAATATATGATTACACAGTTTAGTTTGGTACAGTTAGTACCAAACATATAAAATAGCCCACAGAAACATATATATGTGTGTCTATGTGCGCACACACACACGTGCAGCATGTGTGTACATATACATAAGTGACATATACACATACGCATATACACCCACATACATTCCACAACCCAAAATGCATATATTTGCAAGTACAGTACACTAATACAGACTAGCACATGTAAAACCAAATTGAAAGAGATAACTGAATGGATATGAAAGATGAGAAAATAACATCCTGACCTAAACTGTTACTATATTACAAAAGGTTGAAAAAAATCACATCAACTTTTACCAATGAAGTGCAAGGATGCTATTCATGCTTTTGAATGAGATCTAAAACAATTTTGAAATATGTCCAATGCAGTACGTATAGAACAAAATTACACTCAGGAGATATTTATATTTGCTGCAGGTTTCATACTACCCACCTTCCAACTTCCAAGAATTTTTTTGTCTTTCCCAAATTCACATAAACTAGGGATCACAATTTTTTGAGTGGTGGACACCACTGGGTAAGTACATATGATACTATAGACTGCCAAAATAAAAGGTTTTAAGTATAACATTTTAAAAATATCTCTGCCTCAAAATATAACTATCAACAATAATATGAGATCTGGGGCAATTTTCACATTTAGAAATAATACTGAAAGTCAGTGATCAAAATCTGCCACTGTCAAAATGAATAGTCTGGGATATTATCGAAGATTCAAAAAAACAATAATCCAATTTACATCTGAATCTACTCAGCAGTAAAACCCAAAGGGCTGAATCTAGAGTGTGTGGTCTATCAAATGAAAGGCTTCATTCTCTGCTGATCTCCTTCCCCAAAGCATGAAAATTCACTTCTGATTATATTTTAGAAAAGCAATTCAGAAAGCATCAAGGGCCTAAAGGAAACATAAAATCTTTTCATAAGTGGGAACAAAGACTGCATCAAATACACTGACACTGACAGTAGTCACTCCAAGAAAAATGAGCAATATATTACAATTTTAATTTCTCAAAATTGCATTAAGATTCTTTCCCACAGACCCTTAGATTTCAGCTATGAATCAAAAGCTCTCATAGGCATTTATTATAAACACAGATGGAGGTCCAATGAAGAGAAAAGCGCAGCGTAAATGATGGAATAATGTGGAAATTTCAGATTCAAATTATAGGACAAAAAAGAAAGAAGGAAGACAGAGATACATGCAACATAATGATGATGAATGCTATCAGAGAAAAAACAATAAGGGTAAGATAAAGCAGGAGCAGCATGAAGGATTATGGATTTGAGGTTGTAACTTGTAGCCATGACTCTGTACAAATTAGTATTTTTTTAAGTCACCACATACTGTATGCAATAGTTTTGCTTTGCACAATGTATAATTCAGAAGCTAAAAATCACAAGATGTGATTTTTTTCAAATTCTCTTTGCTGTGGTTCAATTAAAATGTTTAAAACTTTATGTTGAATCTGGCTAAAAAAATGTATGTTTCAAGTTTGTGAAGTTATTCCAAATTACTTGATGACTAATAAAATGCACCATAAAAGTGGGATATGTAAAGGCAACCTTAACATCTGTGTGTTTTGGGCTACATAATAAAAAATATATTTTTATATCTTCCCATGGCTTTTTTAGTTGGCCTTTTGGGAGCTACAGCCTAGAACACCCAAATGACACCAGGTTCTCCACCTTAAACTAGAATATTAGAGAAACTATGTCTATGGAGATTCTCAGTCATCCAGGTCATAGTTATCCCAAAGATGTTTTTCATGAGACAACTGGACTTCCTTGTTTTTCTTTGAACATATTTCGCTTCTCATTCAAGAAGCTTCTTCAGCTCTGACTGGATGGTGGGGAATTCCAGTCAGAGCTGAAGAAGCTTCCTGGATGAGAAGCAAAACGTCTTCAAAGAAAAACAAGAAAGTCCAGTTGCCTTGTGAGAAACATCTTTGGGATTAGAGAAATTAATATGTGACTAGTCCAAACCTAGTAGGTCTTGTGACAAAGCTTTGAGCTGATACATGGCAGGAAGTTTGTTACTGGAGATTAAGAGAAATAGAAACAATCTACTAACCAGTTTACCCATGCCATAGTCAAATATTTTCATGAACTATTATAGTAAAGCCTAGCTATTTTCTTCACTACATTGGCTGGTAGGTTTTTCTTCCATAGTATACACTGATATTCTGTAAAGAGATCTTCTAGTTGGTTGGTTTCCAAGTTCTTTAAACAATATTTGAATTAATGGATGTTGTAGTATTTTTATAATTTAATAATCTCCAGATGATTATCTATAAAAAATTTGGTACTTAACTTCCAACCTGGGCTTACTGTTAGTCTTCAATAAGCTAAAAAGATTCTGGCTCAAGTTTTCATGAAAATTAGATATTTCTATTGTATGACTCAGAAAAGCTTTATTTAAACCACTTTCACAATTCCATAAAATAAAGCAATAATTTTCTGTGTAAAGAGATTTGACAACAATCTCCCATATAACTACTACAGAAATAGAGATTTGCTATCTCTTGCTCTCTTTTCCATATTTTCCCCCTTATTAGTTACTGTTCCAAGTTACAACAGAATATTTCAAAAATGCCTATTCTGGCCTAAGACCAGTCGTGATGTTATAAGCAGATATGCAACTGAGAGCAGAAGGACGAATGAGAGCACCATCTGTCACCAGTACTTATTTATAACGAAGTGAAGTAGTGTTACCTAAAATAGACATGTATAGGCTTGTCCCCTTCCCCCACCGTACAGAGAATTAATTCTAGCAACAATAAGAAAAAATATACTTGGAAGTAACTTGGTTATGAAAAGATATTAGGCAGGTGCTAAGCTTTGAAATAAATGAGAACTTACAAGCCTGCACTAGGTGTAAAAGCATGGAAGGACCAATGCACATCAATGAGAAAGGAATGCAATACCATATTCGTCATTTTCCACTGCTGTCACAGGATTCTCCTGTGTTGTAGCTTCAAGCATAGGATACAGATATATTTTACGCATAGAACAATGATTAATTTGCTCCACAGAATTTAGATATCTGAACATGGAATCGCATAAAATGTACTAGTACATTTAGTATTTACAATTGCTGAACTTTTAGTAAATTTAACTGCTATGCATTTCAATCATTCATTGAGCACAGGCGCTTTACAACTGGTACAAAAGTCAATATTATATCATTTCTCTGCCAGTAGCAAAGTGAGACTGATTTACTTATTTATAAATTAATAACTGGCAAGTGTTTAATGCTGACTATACTTATGTCTGTGCTGTATTACTGGATAATTAGCAAGCTTGGACAAATCATAAATTATTTAAAAAAACTTAGTTGAACAGGAAGAACAATCTGTCTGTTTGAAGAAGATCAAACAATATTCATCACACTTAAAAGAAATATTCTGATACATGCTAATATAAAGAATTCGGCTCAACCGTTTTTGTAAGCATAACATGTTTCTCTAAAATCAGTTTAGTTGAAATTAGAATTTATCATTTGTGTTGTTTCCTCTAGATTTCTGAGCTATGTTTAATTTTTTAATGACTGGGAAATAAATTGAGTTATTTTTTAAACCTACAGAGGTTACCAAAGTAACCGTTACTTTTTTTCTCCTCTCTGCTGAAATCAGACCTAAGAAAAAAGAACTTTAAATTTAGGGAATACCTTTAAGCAATGGAGATTATTATTTAGCTTACACTGTAGAATTTAAAGAAATAATAAATTAAACTGAAATAACATGCAATCCATGCAATTCTTTTTTTTTTTTAACCTTTTAATGTTGCACACTAAAAAAACTGCATGGTTATGCAGCAATGCAAGGCTTCCAATGCATAATCAAGCACAAAGCAGTAGTGACAACAAATGATGCAGTGGCAAGTTACCCTCTTAAGAATCAAGACCGTTTCACCTTGTATACGCAAGTATGTGGAAGAAGAAAGTTGAATTGAAAATCATTTCCACCTGGACCACTGCTTCTCCTTATCTGTTAAAGGCACATATATCACTCCCATCAGAGGCTTCATTTTGACACTGCCATCTTCTAGCTTATCATATTGTTCCAGCATCTGGTTTCCTCCAGCAGGCCCAACAGGTAATATTAACCTTCCACCAGGTTTTAATTGATCTATAAGCTATAAATTTTAAAAAATATTAATACCACAATGTATAAAAGCAACAATCTTGCAATATGTAGAACTGCAAAACAATAATTCCTCCATTACTGTAGCGCAAAATTGACTGAAATGGTTTTCAGGCCTAATAAGATTAGAAGAACAGCTCAATCCCTTTCTATTCTTTACCCCATTATAGTTGAAATATACATTTTGGGAAAGAAAAAAAAAAGTAGGAAGCAACTTGTAGAATCTTTATCTTATTCATGAACCTATATAAAAATGAATGGAATTTGGGCCTGGGCTTCTAGCAGCTTTTTAAAACTCAAACATATTATAGCCTCAAATTCCAGTAACATGATTTAATAAGTTTAGTATATCTAATTAAATGTATATCTCTACAATATGTTTATGCTATCAAGAAATCAATTAAACATATTTAAACCATGTGTAAGCAAATTCTTAACCCTCTTCATTTAAGAGATTTGGTACAAAGTACATATATCTGTCTCTCTCTCTTTCTCTCTCTCTCTCTCACACACACATACATAAACATATTACTTACTGCTTGTGGTACAACAGGTGCAGCAGCTCCAACATGAATAGCATCATATGGAGCTTCTTCTGGATGTCCTAATCTTCCATCCCCCACTGAAAGAAAAATAGGACAAAAAATTAATGTTATTAATCAAAGCACTAAATTTCTACTTAAATGGTTAAATATTTTTATGAAATATCAAAATTAATTGAAATGAAACTTCAAATGTAGTAAAAAAAATAGCCATTTAATTTTTGATAGCATTACCAATTAGAATTCATAATGCAAATGATTAAGGTTGGAGAATATCATGGTATAAATATTTCTAACATAATGTACTTTCCTAAGATCATATGGATAAGTTTCATAGATAAATATAACTTACAATCTATAAGCTCTGTCCTTGTCTGTTTTAACTCACAATACTAGCCAGAAGGAATAAATAACCTTGTTTAAGTATTTATTGACTAATTTTTTGTGAAAAAGAAAGTTTTTCAAGTGCTCTGCAAGATATAATTGTCAAGAGATGGAGGACACAGAAGTTCATAATGATTGTTTGGTAACAGTTCTTTTTAAAAAAAAAAAAATGGTCAACAGCTAATTGCTGTTTAACTCCACAGTCTTTGAGATGTGATTATATCATTTCTTAAATAGTGTCATTTGGGAACACTAGGAGTTTTCTCCATGTTGCTATGTCTGCCTTAAGGAAGAGCATTTCCTGCAAAATTCAGATGGCCCCAACACTTAAAACTAGCTGTTCCCCTCCTCCTTTAGTCAGGAAGTGTTATTTTCAGTGATTACTCTGGCTGTCTTCATTTTGTGTAATTGACTTGTGTGTGATAATTTTTTGCTATTTTTGAAAAAAATGGTTAACATTCCTATATTTCTATGTTTTGTTTTTTTATCTGTATGCCATCCTGAATCTTTCTGATCAGGTAGTTATATAAATTTAATTAAAAAAATAAAGAACAAGAGAATGTAACCTAATTCATAAACACAAAATTATCTATACTATGCAAGTAACCTGTATTTATTTCATTGTAATATTCTCCAGTGCTTACCAATTAGTTTCACTCTTCCTGAAGACAGCAATAAAGAGTCATCCTTTTTGACGTTATTTATTGAGTCATCAACTAATTCTTTAATATGATCAATTCCTATAACTTGTCCTTTGGGACCAACCTGAAACAAAATCAAAAAGATTATTATTCATACTGGTGAAATATGTTGCCAGTTACATATATCCTTGTCAGCCTTCCTTGCCCCCACACAGATGCCACTGAAAGATGTGATAAGGGTACCAATTGGCTTCAACTGATAAAAGAAATAGTTCTTATATTTTTCTAGAGAACAAACAAAAGAAAGACTAGGTAAAATTAAACATTTGAAGTTATTACTAAAGATAAATGTACAGTAGATGTAGCTAGATGTAGTTTCCAAGTCTACAGATTACTATCACAGGAGACCAACAGATGCCTTACAATGTACTGGACAGCAAATCAATTGCCTGTTTGCTGTCTTCATCTGAAATGTTTTAAATGAGATACTAAATACCACTTTAGTGCATAAATTACTTGTAATTTCTTACTATTTATTTTTTAGGATTTTTTCCTTTTCAAAAACTTCAACTATTAGGTGAGATTAATTTTTTAAAGTCAATTAGCTGGTTTTCGCTATTCCAGTTTCATGCACTTTCTTGAAGGCAATATTTTGTAGACAAGATAACTTGGGTACAGCTAGTCAAAGTACAAAAACACTTATAATTTTAAAAACTAAACCCCTGTAACTGTTTTCTAAAGATCTCTAAAAATTAAAACATAAAGTAATTACTCTTTGATTAACAACAGCAAAACATTTCATTTATTTGATAAAATCAAATTTCTCACCATCCGGGCAAAGCATGAAGTAAGAATACCACTTCCAGATCCTACATCAAGGGCTTTGGCTCCTTCATGTAACTGTTCATATAGAAGTTCTAGAGCATATGCATGCTAACCAAAAAGAATAAAAAAACTATTTTACTTTTATTCTGCCCACCACAAAATCTGTTTTTATAAAGATTTAAATGCTCAAAAGAAAACAGTATTTCAATTAGAGCAAACAGATAAATACCTGAAATATTATAGTTTGTACATTAAATTTTCAAGGCAAACTAATAAAATTCAATTATTAATTAAATGCATTTTAAAAGCACATCAAATGTAAGACCTGGGCTGTACTATTACATCTGAAATGTGTACTCTAAATCCACAGCAGTTTGCCAACTGAAAGAAAAGAGTACTTCTAAAATCTCCTTTTCCCTTTCCATCTAGAGCAGGGGTAGTCAACCTTGGCTCTTTTATGACTCGTGGACTTCAATTCCCAGAATTCCTGAGCCAGCTTAGCTTAGCTGGCTCAGGAATTCTGGGAGTTGAAGTCCACGAGTCATAAAAGAGCCAAGGTTGACTACCCCTGAACTAGAGCTACCCAATTTGAATTTATAAGCTTGCAAAATACCAATGCTAAATGAACCTGGACCTAGAGAAAATGTTCTAAAGAAAGTTTAAAACACAAAAACTATCAATAAAGAGTATTTCCAGAAGATAACTGTACTGTGAGAGGCAAGGCAGCCAGGTAGCCAAGGGAAAGGCATTACTTCACTGCCCAGCAGGCAGATCACCTTGGCCAGCAGAGATGTGAGGTGCAGAAGATTTGTGTTCCGGCACCTTCCCTTCCCAGTAGAGCTCCTTCCTTTGTTCAGGGCAGTATACGAACTTCTTTGTGTGGGTAGAAATGCACAGTGTGTGCAGAACCCTCTTGACTGGCAGCAGACTAAGACTGCTGAAGTGGAACAAGCACACTAGGAGCCTGGCAACCAGGGACATGAGGAGAAGACAAGAAGTTGGGGGTTGTGCCAGCAGCATCATACAGTGGTCTCTTCATCTGGACCATGCTCTGCAAGGCAACCAAAAGGGAAAAGATGGTGTGGGGGGGGGAAGAGGCAGATGAGGGGAGTTGAAGCAGGGATAGTTTGTGCAGGACAGGAGAATGTGATCACAGAATGCTGTGACAGTCATAAATGCAAGTCAGTCACCAAGCGCCTAAATGTTGATCATGTGACCATGGGAATGCTACAATGGTCACAAGTGCAAGGACCATCTGTAAGTATGTTTTCAGTGCTGCCATAACTTTGAAAGTTGAATAAATGAACATAACCCAAGGACTACTTGTATTTTCTCCCAAAACTACATAAACTTTATTAATGCATAAAGTAGTAAAACAATTTTAAAAAGCACTGGTGAAATGTTAAAAGATATTATTTCTAGACTGTATTTTTATTGTCAATCTGTCTTGCTATCATATTAATTTTACAAGTAGCTTCAGACGTCTTCTATTTTTCTCACTTAATGTTTTCCTACAGCTTCAGAAGAGCTGTAGCGGTGCAGTGGTTAGAATGAGTATTGCAGGCTAATTCTGCTGACCGCCAGGAGTTCAATTTCTCACCCGCTCAAGGCTGACTCAGCCTTCCATCCTTCCGAGGTTGTAAAATGAGGACAATATAGGGGGCAATATGCTGACTCTGTAACCTGCTTAGAGGGGGCTGTAAAGCACTAAGAAGTGGTATATAAATCTTAAGTATCATTGCTATTGCTATTCTTCTATTTTCTTTTTATTAAACCATAGAAAATTTGTTGAGGAATTATGCAATAATTGCACAATGCCTTTGGCTGGTATCAGTAGATGCTGTCTGCTTGGAAGTACCCAAGATCTTTTTAATTTTAGGCAACTAAGATGTGAATGAGGAACAGGATGAAATAATGAAAAGAAGTAGATAGAAAAAGACACACCGCCACCAACTACATTTGTAGTTGGAAATGCTTTCCAAACCAGGACAAAGAATATGCTATTCAGAACATGTTTTAATTTGTGTTGAAATGAATAGACCTACAGAATTTAGAAGATTAACACATACATTACATTCTAATATTAAATGAATCCTCTCTCATAACATGAGACTTCTGTAACAATAAATTATCAGTCTTTAAAGTTAACATAAGACCTTCATTACTTTAAAGCAAATAAATTGGCAGTTAAAATGTGGAGGCAAGATTTAAAGTATGGAATTGTAGTAGTTAGAAATCTAAGACTTACCATGTGCGGAGCACTGATTGTTGCTTGAAATCCTACAAGGCAAAGAAAAATTTCTGAGTAATATCAAGCATATTCAAGTAAATAGATTCTGTTAGCAGTTGTGTTTCAGCCAGCTGCCATATGATTAAGTGACAGGAAAGAACAAATAAAGATCATTGGACAACAGTGATCTTAGATTTGGAAATATTGTACTGCTATTTCTTGTGCTAAATATTCATAAAGTCTCAGAATCAAGCTCAATTCCTAGTGACTTCGTGGACATGAACGTGTTAATCTTCTTGGCAACAGCATCTTCTTACATTCTTCTAGGATGTTTTTTCAGCTTCCTACAAAGAAATATTATGTAACACTATTTCCATAGCTGTTATTTTACTTTCACCTTCTTGTCTTATATCTGATTACCCACACCTAGATTTTAATGATTCATTTAAAGATATTCATAATGTTTGTATTTTAGCAACTATTACTTATTAGAATTAGTATTTTTAACAATTGTATTATTAGAAATTGCTTCAGAAAAAGTATCAAGACAAGTATCAACAATCAAGACCTTTTTTCAACCAAACCTTTTGAATTGGTATAATAACAATTTTAGCTATTGTTTTCACTGGCTCTGAAATGATTCACACTTTGTTTTAATTTCTATAGATAAAATAAAAATGATATACTGTAAATGGACATTTATTCATTATCTACATGCAGGTTAACAAATTATCTTAATTTAATAAGCTCCACAACTATCGTATAACATTTATTTTCTTAGGGATAAAAATAGATCAAAAATAACCATGCTAACTGGGAATAACAAACTTGCCTTCCATTTAAATAAGCTTTGTTTGAAAACTAAATTCAATGGAATTGACTGAAATAATTGCATATAATACTCCAGGCTTAATGTCATATTTTTCTTTTTTGCTGTTTCACATGTAATTGATACCATTCTTCCCTGACAAATGCATACAACTTTAAAATATTATTTTTATTTCTTTAATTACCTTTATACCTTTCCTTCTCTTCAGGAATTAAAAGGAAAATGCAACAATTCCACCCACTCTCATGTTATTATTACAACTATGTGGCGGCATATATTTGGATGAGAAATAATTACACAGTTTCATAACAGAATAGATGAGTAGATGAAATCTCTCAGCCCCAAATATTCTTCACTATACTGGCTCCACTATTTGCTCCAATTCTAGTCGATGGTATGGAGGCAGATGTTTACAGAAAATTCATATTTTAGCACATTTTTTTCTGATAAGTATATATAAATACTTGGCAATGAATTCAGGATACTAAAAAGAAATTCTAGCACTGATACAATGCCTTGGTAAGGCCACACTTGGAATACTGCATCCAGTTTTGGTCACACGATGTAAAAAAGATATTGAGACTCTAGAAAGAGTACAGAGAAGAGCAACAAAGATGATTAGGGGACTGGAGGCTAAAGTATATAAGGAACAGTGGCTGGAATTGGGTATGTCCAGTTTAATGAAAAGGACGAGGGGTGACATGATAGCAGTGTTCCAATATCTCAGAGGTTGCCACAAAGAAGAGGAAGTCAAGCTATTCTCCAAAGCGCCTGAAGGCAGGACAAGAAGCAACGGATGGAAATTAACCAAGGAGAGAAACAATCTAGAACTAAGGATAAATTTTCTGATAGAACAATTAACCAGTGGAACAACCTGCCTACAGAAGCTGTGAATGCTCCAACACTTGAAGTTTTTAAGAAGAGACTGAACAGTCATTTGTCCGAAATGGTATAGGGTTTCCTGCCTGAGCAGGGGGTTGGACTAGATGACCTCCAAGGTCCCTTCCAACATCATTATCATCATTATTATTGTTGTTGTTGTTGTTATAAAAAAGAATGGTTTTCAGAACAGTAACTATCAGAATAAATATACAACTCTATAAAAAATAATTAACTGACTTGAAATGTAAACTAGCAGAAATTTGAAATTAAAGACAGAAGCAACTTCAACTTTTCTGGATGGGAACAGTTAATTAATTTTGAGATCATATGTTAGCAATTTCCAATTACTTAAAATGAAAATTACTATATTTGCATCTGTTCTTAGGCTTTCATTACAAACTATGACATCAAAATAAAAATACATACATCATCATACAAGTGATTATGCAACTGGATCATAACTGATGCATTTATATATATTTTGTCTTTTGTGAAATATCATGATGTATGTGTTGGCATTTACCCCCACCTATCACCACATTGAAAGTCTATGTTTATAGCATTAAAGAAATCTACCACTATCAAATGCCAATACTAATAAAACAAAAGTTCATTTATATATTGGATTTATATATTTTATACAAACCAAACAAATCACACTTTGACTTAACACAATGTGTGACTCCAGGCACAGACTTGTTGAATAACTCAGTCAAAGAAACAATAGATCCTTGCAATGAAGGAATGCAATCACTCTTCTAATTCATACAGCAAAAACAGCTTATACTTCCCATATAGTCACTTTTCCACGATATATGTTGCTGGTGTTATAAAAAAAAAATCTTTCTGTAACTATTCTATTGTTCCCACTTTGTACAGTAAAGGATTTGTCCAATACTACCTGATTTTGAAGAAGCAAACAGCTTAAAATAATTTTGAAATCTGTAAGTTTCTGGTTCTGTATGAGAAGGCACTAATTTTGGTTCTTTAATTAAAAAACCTCCATATATAGTTTATTCTCCTCCAGATACTTCAATGGAGAATATGAGTATGGGAAAAAAGCTTTTCCTGAGGTATGCTAGTCAAGCCCATTAAGAGCATTATAAAGTTCACTGAACCATTATGTCTTGCCTAGACTTAGTTTTGCTCCTGAACTAGGTTGTGAATATTGAGAAAGTTTTTTTCCTTTTGTTTCAGTATTGCAAACCCAATCACAGCTGAAACCACACACTTTTGTTGGGAACCTAGATTTAAATAATTTAAATAATTATTAAATTATAACTTTTAACATAATTTAAAAGTGATCATTAAAGAGAAGTTATATTAACTACACTGAGTCCCCACTGACTCGTTTGCACACTGGGCTAAGTACTATAAACCAGGGGTGTCAAACTGCCGGCCCGCGGGCTGGTTTCATCATACCGGAGCCGCGCCCACCCCATTGCCGGCAATGGCGAAAAAGCTCCGATATGTCGCACGACGTCGCGAGTTTGACATGCCTGCTATAAACCATAGTTACCATAATGACTAGTTTTATACACACTAAATCAAAATCAAACAAATTACAGTATAGCTAAGTGCAATGCATTAATCTAGCCCATACTTTCATCTCTTAGTTACAAAAGGCGAATACCCAAGAACATAGAATTTGCAATCAAAGAAATCAAGTTATATCAATAAAAGTAGAAGTTTCTCATGACTATTAGATTATGAATCCATTTTTTCCAGCTTCTTGCTTCCCACAGTGACAGACAAAATATTCGTGAATAAAAGAAATTCACAAGCAGAACATGAAGATAATGATTTGCTATGCTATATGTTCCACACATTCAGAAATATATTGCCTCAGAACAAAGAGACTGAATTTGGTCATGATGACTAAGTGCCATTGACAAATCTGGTATCTCATATAATTTTTATAACCACTTGGAAGCATGAATTCTAAATAATTAATTTGGGGGCTGGAAAAATGAGTTCCAATACTATCTAGAAAATAAATTTCAACACTCATACACTATGATATTACTTTCCACAAATTTATATTATGTTCTTCCTCCACTGTTTTTCCCCATTAGTAATTTGTAGTAAATATATTCTCTGGTTATTTTACCTTTTTCCCCCTAAAACCATGATACATTTTTGAAGCATGCAGAAAGCAAACTTAGATTCAGAATCTTTAAGAAAATCAAACATTTAGATAGTTAATCTAACAGAATATATATATACCTATTGACTGAGGTGAATCCATATATGGGTTGCATTTTGCATAATGGCTTCGGTCTGTGGCAAGCATTACTTCAAATACTTTATCTGATTTGATTATTCCATTTTCTGAAAAAAAGGAAGATTTTAGTCAAAATGTAATGATGTTAATGCTATTAAAATTTCAGCTGCATCCATGGTTTATATACTATATGAAATGCTAAAATATATCTACACAAACATTTATTCTTAAGAAGCCTCTGGTGGATTTTAGGCAAACTACATTTTTATAATCATAGCACCTAAAAATATAGCCAGCAAAAATTCTATTATTTTTACATCAATTTATGTGCAAAATATAGAAAAGAAACTTCTAGTGTTTTGAAACTAGTTTTTATAAAATAATATGAATCAAGAACCTTTGAGATTGTGCCACTGATAGTGCAGTAAACTACTTATTTTTTAAACACGTGGACATATAGTGTCTGTGTACATACTATACACACACACATATATTTCAGATTCAAATATTTCAAAATCAGTTTAGAAATGACATCAACATTTATGAATGAAAGTACAAAAAAGAGGGAAATCAACATTCCTCCCATAAGGTAGCTAGTAAAAAAAAAAAAAAAGCTCAGCTGGCTGGCTTCTTCCTTTGCTCATATTTGGGGTTCTGAAATGGAGAAAAAATAATATGGTCCAAACACATGAGGCCCTCAGACGTCTCTGAGAAGGTACTGTTTTCATTGCTGTTGTCAATATGCCATTGATATTTGAAGGCATCACACTGGCAGAAATCCGGTATGATTTGCAGCTGCTTTCAGAGTAACAGAGAGCAGAAGAGTTGGTGAAATGTTTTTCCGGTCTATGGCTTCATTTGTTCTTTGGAATCACAGTGTCTGGCCTCTGAACAATGAATGATTTAGAGGAACAATGCTTGCCAGTTTTCAACCTGCCGCTTTATTTGTTCTTTAAGGCACTGTAAGACTTTAATAAATTTTCCTAGTTTTAACTCTTTTATTTAGAAGTTTGCTAGGTTTCTGCAGCAGCACTACAGTTTATTATTATTAAATTTATTTACCGCTCATCTTGCAATTCAAGATGACTCTGAGCAGCTTACAGTGAGGTAAAATATACAAATATATAATTATAAATACAAAAACAATTACAAAAATTAAAAAAAAACTTTAAAAAATGCTTGATCCTAGCCTCTAAAACTGTCCATAATGCCTGCCCCCATTGTACCAGAATAACATTCTGATACAGTACATTCCATTTGCTAGCATAGTCTATTCTGATGCCCATTTGATTTCCTTGTTCTTGTTTTCTCCATATGTTCAGCCTTTCTGTTCAGCCTCCAGAATGTTTCAGTCTGCATTCTATTGCCCACAGATTCTGAGAGCTGCAAATGACACAGACACAGCTGCAGCTCATATAAAGAAATACAAAATTGATTGTATTAAGCAAACAAAATTCAAATACATAGAATAACAATGAAATGAAATAAATACATCAAGGAAAAATGCAAATAATGTTACTTTTACATAATCCAATATAAAATATATACAAAACCACAGATTATTATTAATATCAAGCCAAGTAAATCTAATCTGTTATCACTGTTTTTTCAGTTTAGTATTCCAAAGAACAGCTGCTTTCATAAGCTGAGCAGTGATATAAATCAAATACATAAATGGCTCATTATCTCATTACAACATTCACTAAAAAAATATCAACAGCATTCCCATTGAGGAAGATATGAGCAATTGATATAATCTATATTCTGCACTTCAAAAGAAAAAATTAAATTATGTTGGTGTCTACCCAACTCAATTGCTGATATGAAACATATTCCAGTTGCAACCCATCATTTCTTTTGGGGAAATATATAAAAGATTCAGAATATAGTTGCAACAAGAGGTGGCTTTTAAAATACCGGTATGTCTGTGACTATGTACAATAGCTATGCATGTCTCATTTAGGAAATACAGCTTCTTATTTGTTCCAGTGATATTTGCCTCTTGAATTGGTTTCCACAGTTTAAGATGGATAAAAGTTTGCTTCTATCCCTATAAAGTATAGCCCATATTATTCAGGAAATAATGATTTCTGCAACATTAAAACATGAGATTGTTTATATTCAAACTAAGTTTATAGTTATCTACTATAATACATATCAGAGAACTTTTACATTTTCTGCTATCTAGTCTTTAAAGTTACTATGACAAGGACTGAAATTGAGAACTTTTGTCTGCAAAGAATATGGACTATATGAATATGAACTGAGCTATGGACCATCTTCTATAAATAATATTTGTTTCATATCTCACACAAGGACTCAGATTCCACTGAGCCTGAAGTATCCTGGTACAATAGCTGCCATGTGCAACATAAACTACTCAGGAAAGAAAAAACGTAATGTTTTAAACATTAAAAACTACTCAAGGAAAGGAAAGCATTAAGCTTCTCCTTAAAATAATTAATTTATAATACCAATCTTGTATTAACATGGCAAAGATTATAGCTACGTAACATATGATCCATATTACAGTACAGTTCTTTACTTTTAGCAGAACTTCCAAGTCATTGTTATTACTATCAATTTGGTACTCTATACCAAAGGATTATTTAGGTTTGTTTTAATAAATATTCCTATGCTTTTGTGAGATGTAAATAGGTTAGAAGAGTTGAAAATTTATATTTTATGTTAATGATTATTCAGTTCCTAAAAAAACCTTCAAATTGTTTGCCTACATATGTACAGTATGTGAGCTTCCAATATATATCTAATCACTGGGGTTACTACCAATATTTTCAAAATTAATAGATTCTATAACTTTTAAATCTATATACTATTAAAACTTTTGAATCTGTAACATTTAATTGGGCAAAATGGTGCATTGTAGGGCAAGACTTTTTGGACCAAGATACCTCAAACTGCTTACATACAAAATCCTGAATCTAGAACCTTCAATTCCTTTGATGGAACTGATATTTGGTAAATTTTATCAAAGTTTTATATCATAAAAATTATCATTAAACATTATATGACATAATACAAAATGCTGTAAAAATTCTTGTGATCAACTCCTGATGTTTGATTGTGCTATACCAGTGGTTCTCAACCTGTGGGTCAGGACCCCATTTGGGGTCGATCGACCATTTCATGGGGGTCGCCAAGCAATGCTGTCCGCCATTTTTCCCCCTTTTCCGGTGGGTGCCTTACCTCCCTTGGGCTGGGCCAGCTGGTGGTCGGCCTGCTCCGTCTCTGCCGCTTGCCAGCTATGCCTCGGCCGGCGCAGGGGGCGAAACCACACATGCGCAGCGCTCCCGGGCAGGGAAAGTCCTCGACTTACAACCGGTTGGGTAGTCCTCGACTTATGATCGGTTTAGTCCTCGACTTACGACCGGTTTAGTCCTCGACTTACGACCGGTTTAGTCCTCGACTTACGACCAGTTGGGGTCGCGGCATTAAAAAGGTTGAGAACCACTGTGCTATAAAATTCAATATTGGCTATTTTCAAGGCAGATGCATCTCTGAATATCTCCCTGAATTTTAAAGGATTTTTCCAGTGAAGGCAGTACATTAAAAGTTTAGTTATTATTGAAGGTATTGAGGAATCTGGTAAGAAAATATCCCTGAAATAATAACCCAGTTGATCATAGTGTGTCTGTACAATGGGGGAGCATGTAGACAAAAAGTTTAAAATACATAGTAAACTATAATTTAAAAGAAAAATGTTATAAGATGATGTATTACTAGTATTTAATACCAGATAAATTATCTAGAATGTATAAAGGTATTTCAAATGAATGCTGGAAATGTAAATGTAAAGAAGGGACTTTTTCTCATTTATGGTGGACATGTGGTAAAGCAAAGAAATATTGGAGTAGGATTCATATCTTAATACAGAAAATTCTTAAAGTGAAGATAAAGATGAAACCAGAAACTTTTCTTTTGGGCTCAACGGAAAAAGACTTGGGAAAAAAAATTTGGAACTTTGATTTTATATATGTTGATGGCAGCAAGACTACTGTACGGACAAAAAAGGAAAGATAGTTAGATTCCCACTATGGACGAATGGCTACAGAAGCTGATAGAGTTGGCAGAGATGATTAAATTGACTGTTTCAATTAAAGAAAAGAATATAAGTACTTTTGTTTCTACTTGGAGACTGCTTCCGGACTTTACGCTTGAGGTGGAAAAAAATGAAACTTTGATTTTGGGTTTTACTGATTAGATTGATTTGTTATTATAGAAATGGCTCGCTAGTTTATACTATTATGGAAAAGTAAAAAGTTGAGTTTCGATGTTAATGCTCTATTCTACTGCAACAGAGGAAGTCGGAAGTCAATGCCTTTTCTTTTCCCCTCTCCTCCTCACTTTTCTTTCCCCTTTCCCTCTCCACTGTGTCCTATTATTTGCTTTTGTATTTTTGTATTTTATTCTATAATCTAATAAAATATTATAAACTGAAAGATGGAAGAAAAGTTACAGCCATTGCAGTGCCCCCCCCATCACATGATCAAAATTTGGGTGATTGGCAGAATGCCCACACCTACAACGACAAGAGTGCTGCAACTCCCCCCCATCCATCTCCATTATATCTGCCCTTTTGGCCATTGTGCATTCTGCCTTGCAGGCAGCAAATAGTTCCAGAGCTACAGCGTACCCCAAAACCATCTTGGCTATATCCATGGACAGGGATTGCAAGGAAAGGATCCAGCAGAACTGTCTCAAAGTAGGATCTGACTTTGCCACCTGATTTTTCCTGTCCCTTTGCATCCCTCTTTCAAACCCTCATTTTGCCTATTGGGTTTTTCCAGAATAAAAGCAACAGCGTTCCCTCTCCTCCAACCCTATGGTTAGTCTATGTCTGCAGACATTAAGTTGCCCTCTTTAAAAAAACTGCTGCCAAAGGAAAATCCAAAGGAACGAGGCAAACTAAATTGGAGTCAAAGTTCCACACTTCCTCTGCCCACGCCCCCTTCAACCCTCCAATTTGGAAGAAAAATCTCGAAGAGGGTTCAGGCTATTGGCTCCTTGCAGTCAATGAACGTATGACTGGGGCTTAATACCAAAATAAATACAGCCTCCCACCCAGAGCTTTTCCCATAGACCACCATTGCCACTTTATCTCCCAATCCAAGTATCTGTCCCTAAAAGGTCATCTTCAGGTATGAACTGAATTCCTGCATCATGCTTCTTAAAGAAGAGGTCCCCAACCCCGGGTCTGTGAACCGGCACCAAGCCGAGAAACCGTGCCGCACAAACAAGCGAAGCCCCAGCCATGGGATGCAGGTAGCACATGAAACCATGCTCCCTCCAGTCCACCGGAAAAACCTCTCCCCACAGAAACGATCCCTGATGCCTAAAAGGTTGGGGGCCTCTGTCTTAAAGGAAATGCTTTTCCTGCTGTAAAGGAAAAGGAAAAGGCAGCAATGGCTCAGCTTTTCCAATTAACACTGGTTACATGTGGCTTCCTAAGCCACCCCCACCCCCCAAAGTTTTCCCATTGGGTGAAGCCATTTTTGGCTTCTCCATTGGCTAGCATTCTTACTTGCACTGATCTGCTGGGGTGGGCTGCATGTTGGAGAGGGCAATTGAGAATGAACTTGGGTGGCTATGCAGCTCTTGAGCTGCTTGTTGGACCACAAGACTGCGCAGTTAAGAGGGCAGAGATGGAGGGAAAATAAGAAGGAGGAGGGAGTTGGAGGCAGTCCCTTACCTCAGAACAGTGGTTCTCAACCTATGGGTCGCGACCCCATTTGAGGTCGATCGACCATTTCACAGGGGTCGCCAAGCAAGGCTGTCCGCCATTTTTTCCCCTTTTCTGGCGGGTGCCTTACCTCCCTTGAGCTGGGCCAGCTGGTGGTCGGCCTGCTCCGTCTCTGCCGCTTGCCAGCTACGCCTCGGTCGGCGCAGGGGGCGGAACCATGCATGTGCGGCGCTCCCGGGCAGGGAAAGTCCTCGACTTACGACCGGTTGGGTAGTCCTCGACTTACGACCGGTTTAGTCCTCGACTTACGACCGGTTGGGGGTCGCGGCATTAAAAAGGTTGAGAACCACTGCCTCAGAAGCTCACAACAACAGAATGAGGATTGTGGTTGCTAAGCAATGCGGTCATGTGATTTCTCACATTACAATTGCATTGTTTAGTGACCAACGTCCTGGTCCCATTTGGGGTCATAAGTTAAGGACTGCCCATAATTCACCAAATATTGAAGCAAATATTAAGCTCAATTTAGCAACTGGTCACTCTGCAAACCCCATTAATACTACAAGCAGCTTTTAGCTTATTCCTACAGCATCAAGGGTAAAAGTAATAAAGTAATATCTACTACTACTTCTATATTGTGGAAAATGCAGATATTCGAGTATAAAGTATCACAGTCTTTCCCAATTTCAAAAGACATTATTATTACGACAAATTTATTTGTGCTGAATATGTCACTGCATGGAAGAGCAAGAATCTTAATGTTTACCTTAGTCCTGTAAACATAAACTTTAATTTTTCATAACGAATTACCCCAAAATACTATTTATTTAAGGCAGATCTGGAAATCCTGATGACCCTTCTCTCTGAAAAAAGCCCTGAACAATGAGGAAGTTCGCAGGATGCATTTAAACTCCCAAATTCTGCCAAGCTAAGTTTTATTACAATTGCATTACCTATCCTTATTATATATGACAACGTGCAACACGTTTATTCTCGACAAAAAGGGATAGCAGCTCAAGCCATCGAAGATCAAATTTGTATTGTTTTGTATGTATTTTAAATAGATTGTCAGCCGCCCTGAGTCCTACGGGAGAAGGGCGGGATATAAATCCAAATATAAATAAATAAATAAATAAAATAAATAAATAAATTATAATAACTGATAAGACTCAACTCTAAGAGAGGAAACGTTGCGTAATAAAGCAAGTGACAGAAGAGACAGGCCAACGGCCACGCTTTCCTAAAAGCACTTTAAAGTTTTTCTCCTCTCTTCGGCCACCTCACGGACTAGAAACTTAAATCTGCCCAAAGATCTACCATCTGGAACCCTTACATTTTTTTTTTAAGGCACATGCATTAACAGTGGACCAGAGTTCAGGAAACTACGTATGCGCAGCCTCACACCGCACATGCCACAGTCCTAAAGATCCCTAGACCCGTATATAGAAAGAAGAGCTGAACGCCAGGCGAAGAAGAAATCCCACGAGAAGAGCAAAGAAACCAAGGCTCGCGGGAGGCAGGCTCCGGGCGCTACTCCCACCGCCGGGCCTGGCAGCGAAGCTATGCGGACACTGCCCTTCAAAACAGGGTTTTTCCGGCAGCAAGAGACACGCCCGCCTGGCAGCGAACACAGCCCACAAAGCAGCCGTGAGCGGGAAAGTTCACGCCGCCCCCGCTTTAAGTCTCCAGATGTTCCCCCAGTAACAGCTGGCTTTTTTTCTTCCCCCTCCCTCCCCCCCTCCCCGCCCCAGCGCACGACGCGGAGGGCCACAAGAATCCCAGCGGTCACTCCCTAGCAACGGCCGGGAGCTAATGGGTGCATGCCTGCGTCGGGTTTCAAGAATGGGCAGCACGCGCCCTGGCCCCTCCCTCTGCCTCCTCCCACTCTTTTCTTTCTCCCCCGAGCCGGGCGCGCACACATACTGCGGAGGTTGTGGATGAGCTCCGAGTGGCTCGTGCCTCCAGACTTCCAGGCCATCGTTAGACAGACTCTGCGGATCAGGTAGAGAGCCGCCTTCAGTGCCGCGACTGCGCACAGGAGTTTCCCCAGGAAGGACACAACCTCTAGCGCCGACACAGGCGCCGCCTCCTCTCCTCCCGCAGCAGCGGCTGCCGCTGCGCGTCCGCCGGAGGGAGGGACTGCTCCCCCGCCTCCTAGCGCCCTCGACATTCTGAACGGCCGCCGCCGGGCAACCGCGACCGGTGTGCGCAGGCGCAGTTAACCGAATAAAGGGGACACGGCGACCCAGTGAGGGAGGGGCTAGAGATGCTGACTGAGGAGGAGGGTGGGGTCGTCGGGGGGATAGGAAGATGTTTAAACGGAAGCATGTGATTGAATTTATATATAACTGAATAGCAGCTCGGAATGTGAAGTGGGAAGGTTCTTGGAGTGGGGCTGCATACAAACAGCCATATGCATCTGATGTGTGCGCTAAAGCAGTGCACCTGCTTTGTATAAATAGCAGTGCGCTGTGTTCACACTACGCATAGTCTTGGATCAGTGTGTTGTGTGGACTTGTGTGATAGTGGCTGGCTGAAGGTGTGCAAACCCAGGTAATTATGCATGTCAGCTGAACATGGGTTGTGTAAAACACTAATACAAAGAAATGCTATACTTGCACCTCATGGCAGGATCATAGCTGCTTCTCAAATTAATGCTGACCCAGGCATTTTTTTCTCAGAATTATCACTTTTCCCATTCTGCCTGTTGTATTTATTTCACCTCTACTTACAAAGTACAAGGACTGAATGAAAAATAATGAATCCAATGTTGTCAATTGCCATAAAAAGTATTGACATGTTCTTTTATTTTGGTTGTTAGGAAGTCATTTTGTGAAAATGTTGGGTTGCTGTTGCTTGTGAAATGGAAGGCTGCAACAAGTACTCAAGCAGCTTTAAGCAATGTGTCATGACTGAATTTTTGACTGCTAAAGAAGCCCCTTCCATTGAAAATCACTACTGAAAGGAGGTTCTTTATGGTGATGATTATGCTACCATGAGTACAATTATTGCTGGGCCAAAAAATATAAATATGGTGAACAGAAAGAGCTGATCTGTATGATCAAAAATGAAGTGAATGATCTGCAATAATAATCAACATCATCAAGTTGATGAACTGATTGAGGACATCTAGATTACTCAAAGGGAAATGCTATCAATTTTGGCATTTCACAGAAATATGTGAGTCACGTTAATTGGTATTCTTCAGTATCAGCAGTATAGTGTGCACAGTGACAAAGTAATCTTACAATGACAACATGCTTTATTATGCCATTTTATGATTTTCAAACATTATTTTGTACATCTTTCTATATCCAAGTACTTGTGTATTTTTTTAAAAGTCATATTAGCAAGGCTATATTTAATAACATTTTGAAGGCCCCATTTTTTGGAATGATGACTTGCTTTTAAATAGTTCAAAATAGTCTTATATCTTTGATTTGTAAATATTTAAAATTTCTATGTAAGTCACTCCATCAGGATGTGTTTTATATTCTAATGAGCTTCAAGTAACATAAACCTGATATTGTTTGCCATGCCATGACATTAATCTCATCAGACAATACCTATTACTTTAAAGCATAAACCTGTAATGCAGTATTATTCTTAATGGAGTTATAATAACTTTTTTCTCATGTATTTCAATCCTGTGTATATTTTGAAAATAGCACCAATTAGCAAAATAGATTTGCAGTTAACCAATAGAAGTGTTTGCCATGATAGTGAATTTTAGTAGTTTTGCTCCACAGAATCAGACTTCATTGAAAGCTTAGGTTTGTTTATGTAGAGGTTGGAGTTTTACAAAATGCATTGTAGAGAGTAATTTTATAAACTTAATTTTTGAATAAAAATAATTTGAAGCAGTCATGGAGTATATGCTTGGTATTCTGAAGCTTCCAGATTTAATATTGGGGTCTCTGATTAAATGAGCTGAGTAAGTGCAATCTGAGACATTGGAAAGCCACTGTCACTCAGGCAATATGAAGAAATAAAATGTGAAGTCATATAATTCCCAACCCACTCCAGATGGTTAAGACAGTCATTATGTCTCAGGTTTATCTACTTCCAAGGGAATGTTGTGAAAGAGTGCAGTACAAGTTCCTTTGCCTTGGGATAGAAGCATAATAAAATATTCATAAAATCTAATTGTATGAATTAAATGCAATCTTATTCAAGGATGCAAATAAATTATTGGTTATTTTATTGAATTAAGTATGACATTTGTGTTACTTCATTCTGCTGTAGCATTAAATTTCATAACATGCTTCTTGCTCTTTCAGAATTGTAGAACTGTTATATAACTGTCTACCTTTAGAAAAGTTTGTTTTGAGTTAAACTCAGCTCCTATGATTTCATGGCTGTGTCCTTGTAATTTTCTTAGCAACAGTATGGAAATTGTCATTGCTGCTTTTGGAGAATTTTTAAAATTTTCCTATTAAATATTCAGCATTGCTCCCCTGCAAGTATTACCAAGTTCAACCCTGCTTGTCTTTTTGATATCAGGCAAAGAAAGCCTGTACATTCCTACAAACTGAAAGCTAAATGAGAAAAGCAGAACTGTTTCAAAAATAACCTGGCACAGTTTTTGAATATGTTCATGAATTCTCCAGGAATTGAGTTGGATTCAAGAGAGATGTTGTCTTTTAAAAGGAATTGTAGGGAAAAACTTGAAATAGTTTAATCGGCAGAAGCATATGTGCTTGATTCAGCAATGTGTCATTAAATTCAATGAAGCTCATGTTGTCTGCCTCCTTCAAACCGGTTCGCTTATGATGCACACCACTGTAATGAGACATCAATTCTCCAAATTCTCATCCAGCCATTTAAACCTGTTGTTTAGACATTCTGGACGCTGTAGTCTCTATTCTGCCAGATTGAAAAATACATTGATAACCACTGAGTGTATTTACTGCAGGCTCCAATAACGCAATGCAGAACTGTGCATATTGTATATAGATGTGAAACCCTGTACATTCAGTAAGACGACTTAATAATTAAGTTTAGGACTTATAGCTTAATGACGTCTGTTTTTCCATATTATATGTTTTCAAGTTACTCGTGCATAGCGACATTGTGAGATATAGTGCAGAATGTCACTCATCCTAAATCGCGTTGAGACAAATATTTAATATCTCTGTTAGATACTCCAACTTTGATATTCAAAGGGAGACGCATCCTACTCGCAAAAGCATCGGGATTCTCATTCCTGCCGAAATGGCTGTTCTTTAGGCGCAGGTACAGCGCTTTTTGTCCTCCTTCGGATGCCGTCTCCAGTGACGTTGGTGAACCAATCAAGAGTGTGGGTTTGAAAGCCTGCGAGGTGATCGTCCTGCGCGGGAGTGAGAGTCTCTCCCCTAACATGGAGGACGTAGTGGGCAAGTATGTATCCCAGAAAATCAGTAAGACCCGCTGGCGACCCGTATCTGCCACTGCCTTGCAGTCTCCCGAGATTTTCGCCACCGGCTCGTGGGATAATGAGGTAACTCGGACGCCTCCTGACCGTCGTTCCTCCTTCCTCGGGTCTTTCGACTTTTCCCCCCCAATAACCATTTTTCGGTTCTTCCCCCCCCCCGTCTCCTTCTGTGCCCTGCAACTGTCATGATCGCGAAAACTTGGTGCGTTTGCTTTTCTCGATGTGGAGTATTCCTGAACCATGGTCGTGACTTCCCCCTAGTTCAGGGGTAGGCAAGCTTGGCTCTTTTATGACTCGTGGACTTCAACTCCCAGAATTCCTGAGCCAGCTTGGCTGGCTCAGGAATTCTGGGAGTTGAAGTCCACGAGTCATAAAAGAGCCAAGCTTGCCTACCCCTGAACTAGTTGTTCAGTTTAATCCTAAAACTAATCCCTATTAGCTTGTGCAGTACTGTTTTTGTCGTTGGTGAATAGACCCATTTGTTTTGCTTTAGCGAAGCACCACGTGGCTAAGATTAAGAATGCTTAGTAATTTTAAGCTTAAATGCTATTGCGTTGTTTTTTTTTTTTCATTTTGCCTCAGAAATTGTCAACTGAACTAAATTACTCCCATTTTACTGAAACTTAAATAGGGATACACTGGAGATAACGGAAGGTCGAATTGATACTAATTAATATCTGCCTTTACTTTAGAAATGTAGCACAAAACAACTATTTTCAGAGCTACATATATTTCTGAATTTTTTTTTTATTGAAAATTTTATTAAGGTTTTACAATATACTTCCCCCCCTCCCCAGAACCCACCCTTCCCCTCCCCCCTCCCTCCCCCCCACTTCCCAGAGCCAATCACAGGGTTAACAATACAATAATCATACTCTATCTAACATTAATCAACTATCAGATTAACAAATCTATAACATCCTTTAACTCTTTTTTAAACAAACATATTAAACACAATAATTATAACATCATATTAATAAGTTATAGATAAAAGTAAGTGTCCAATTTTAACGCATAAACTACAATAACACACTAAAATTTACTCAAAAACCAAATGAAACTTTTTAGTACCATATTTACTCTCAATATAATCTATCCATCTTCTCCAAACCAAAATATATCTTTCTTGTGAATAGTCCTTCACATAAGCGGAAATCTTAGCCATTTCTGCTAAATTTGAAACTTTAAGTACCCATTCTTCTATAGTGGGCAAACGTTCCGTTTTCCAACATTGAGCTACTAGTAATCTTGCAGCAGTTATCAAATTCAACATCAAATCCATTTCTTTTTTATCCAAATCTTCCATAATACCCAACAGAAATATCTGCGGCTTAAATTTTATCTTTTTCTTAAAAATATTTTGAATATTCCACCATATCTTTATCCAAAATGCCTTTACTATTTTCAGAGCTACATATATTTCTGAAAATTTTTATAGAGCATCTTAATTGACAGTCTGTATGCAACATCTCAGTAATTATTAAACATACAACAAAAGATATAGTACTTTGTATGCATCATCATTATCTTAGATTATCTTTTCTAGATTATTTAAAAATGAGAAAATAGCAAGGCAACTGTAGAATAGCAGTGAAAGCTTTGGACTCAGAGTGGGGAGATCCTATCTGTCTTGTCTGATGAAACTTGTTCTACATCTGACATTT